ACCTAAATATTTATGAGAACTGAACCAGACTCTAAACAGAAAATGTAGAACAACTCCTTAAATGAAATTTGCAAACAGAACAATGAAACACTCCATCTGTGACACAAGGCACCAAGCAAAGGACGCACAATTTGTGCACATAGAGGGTCGCAGAGGGGTGGGAGATGGTCAGAGGGCATTTTGATGGATGGCTCATGATCCAAGTATTTAGAACGGGATGTTCACAATAACTGAATTAAGTTTTTCCAGGGTTGTACATTTCAGAAGCAATGAAAATTATTCTTTTTTTTGTTGAAAAATGATTAAACTGATTGCCACCAAAATGTCGAGAGAATTTCGAACAATATAGCAACAAATAAAAATAAAATGCTCCAGAAAAACATCATCAAGCCCATCTGTGACTGATTAACTTTGCAGTAGACCTCGCCTCAGTCCGTAATCACTGTGGAAATGACTTTCAGAAAAGTACACATTACTTTTAATCTGACTGCATCTTCATGATAAACGAGAACAGTAACTGCTTTTCCGTAAAGCTATAAAACATCAACAAGTTCAAAGAAATCAACATTCGCAGCTCCGATCTATCCTGGATGAAGGCGCACGTGAACACGCACCTTAAGGAGCACTTCTCTCCGAGCGCTCACTAACCACTGAGGAGGAGGAGGAGATGAAAGGAAACAAAGTGAGCGTGAGCCTGAGAGGGCATTCCTCTGAGCAAGTCCAGACAACCACAGCTTTATTGTGTTCTGCTTCAGCCCCAGAAAAAGGAGAAAGTGACTGCGTGCACAGACATGCCAACACCTCGCACTTTATCGCCGTTTTTCAGCACACCTTTGGTTGACACCTCTCATTCCTTAACCTTCAGATAACCTTACCACACAAAAGCTGAAATCCACATTTTCCCCTCACAAATTGTTGCATTCATCAGTGCCAACAAGCCTCCAGTGATAATTATGGGCTTATTATTGGAGACTGTGGGTGGACCAGGTGTTCTTCTAAAACAACTCCTAATAAATGCAGTAATAAATCTGTGGGGCAAATGTGAGGCTCTACAAGTAACACCAGTATAAAACGCTTGAGTTAAAGTGCAAATTAAATCATTAATAAGTCCTACTTCAGAATTTTAGACACTTATCACACAGCAGTGTGACAACATAATTTAGGTATCGACCATTTATTGCAAACATTTGGGAGATTGTTCATGTGAAGCTGATTTGGCAGTGACTAAATATGTTGGTGCACTTGACCATGAAACACACCCACCCATTAGACAGTTATGTCTGAGTTCTTTCAAATAAAAAAAGTACTCCATGAAAAGCAAAAATATTAAAGCTGCTGCACCACTGTGTGTTTTCCACTCCGACCCTCTGCACACACACAAAAGAAAGTTTCTGAATGTGGGCAAACTAAGCAGCAGCAGCACAGCGGTCTCTGCTCTGTGCTTCCACGTTAGTCCTGTGCTTTGCTCCAGAGACAGCAAAGTGCTGTACAGCTCATCTGACGCGCGCGCACACACACACGCCACTGCAGCGTACACTGTACCATTCATTAATCGTGCTTTTACACAGTCGCTCTGACGCACACACCTGACCTGCATTTGTAACCTGAGCAATGTTGAGGCTGTCCGTAAGCTGCAGCAAACACAGCTCACCAGCAGACCGCCCCTGGGAGCATATTTCTGCCTTTGTTAGGTGTGTTTATCTTTCCCTCATCGTCTCCTACCGCTATCTTTTTTCTTCCTCTCTTCCTTCCTTTTCTAATAGGGTGAGATGTAAGATGAAGGTCTCCTCTCTTATTTCCTATTCTCCCTCAGTCAGATTACCAAATGAGGACAGTTTGACAGAAGCAGTGAGATGAGAAAACAAACTGCAGACATGAATTTAGATTTTACAATAAAATAAAGATGGCTGGATCAAGTAGCGTATAGTATTAGCTGTCTGACCTGCTGGGTCAGGCTATAGTTTGGGCTTGAGGCAATGTGCCCTGCTGCCTTCTAAAGGACCCTAAAACAAGCAGGAACAACATCTGAGGACAAATGATTTCATAACACCAGGAATATGGTTGCTATAGCTCGGAAGATGAGTGTGGAACTCCTATCAAGTGTTCTGAACCCCTCATTTACGTGATCAGACTCAAGTTAGTAAGAACATTTGTCTGGTGGCAGGTTTATACCTGCTAACAGCTGAAAAGTCTCTCATGAGTCTGCACAGGAATATTCTACTTCCTGCTATTTACAATGCAGTAACTGAATATTCTAATAAAGATGATTAGACTTAAATTGTGCAACAAGATAAGAAGAGAGCAGAAGAACCTCAATTCAAGGGATTTTACGATTGAAAAGGAGAGATATGACCTTTTCTTAAGTTCTAATAGTTTCATGGTCGATACAAAAGATGTTTATGAAGTTCTTTGCACAAAATCCCTCTCGCATAAAGCGATTTCAGCAGAATGAGCTGTTTTAGGGCTGTCACTTTAAGAAAACAAGCTGCAGCTGGCCATGCCCAAAATTCCCTCACTCAGGCTACTATAAGCTAAGAAGCTCCCTTTTCCATGAGGAGCTCAGAGAAGAACTGCTCCAGCAGCAGCTCTCGCCGGTGAGAGGTGATTCTATTCTTCTTGTGACATCACAAAAGGGAACTTTTTGAAATGGCTTGTTTTAGACACACAATTCCTAAAAACAAACACTGGCAAAAACTGATGGACAGTTATCTTTTTTGGAGTGTTTATAGATGCAGTAGAGATCCACAAAGCAGCACAAAAGGATGAAAAAAAATGACTTTTGTATATTTAGTCCTCTTTAAGCCAACGATCAGCCTTGCTGGTCAATCTTGACTGAAACCTACACTCACACACACACACATACACTATTGGTTCTTGGTGGGTGGAAGTACTATATGAAGAGCTCAAAGCCAGCTAATGACCCAGATCCATTTACACTCAGGTTGAAAGACTAATGAAGCTAAAAACCATGAAGGATACATTTATTAGGCTTAAAGAAGAGAAAATACCTGACAGCATCACAGAGTTAGCTGAGGCTGAGTGATGTCAACACGCTGAAGATACGTGGTCAAATTTACACAATGAGCTAAAATAAAATCAATCCTGTAATTTTTCTCATTTACTTTTATGGATTTACAGGTGAATAAATTAATTGAGATGGGAAATGTGATAACGTGAACTGTAACACCTGATTTGATGTAAACAGTGACGTTGCCATTTATGATCAAGTGTTTCAACATTTCTAATCTTCTCTTAAGCTCTTGTTTCTATTTAAGTCTGAAACATGAAACAAATGATCGTCCAGAACCTGGATCCTGTGTTGGGTTTTTATTGATTTATTTTGTGAACATCTACCGTTTCTGCATTTGTGCAACAATGATGAAATTATTAAAAACAACAAAGAGTGAGATAAAGGCCTTGCTTCATTCTGGCTGATGTTTTCTAAGGGATATGAGTGACTGAGATTTACCGGCCGACTGAGTTCCCATTCTGCCCATAAGCCTGTAAGAGGTTATGGCGAGTGTGCACAGGTGTTTTTTATTTTACTTAATAGGATTTCGTAACAGATTCGAACCACACTCCCACATCTATCAGTGACGGGAGGCTTTGGTGGAGGGAAGCAGGAACACCACACCTGTTTGGAAAAGTTTGGGACTGACTTGGCTTGTAGGGTCTACAAGGCCAGGCAGGTTTAGGGTTTTTTTGACATTGTGTGTGTGTGTGTGTGTGTGTGTGTGTGTGTGTGTGTGTGTGTGTGTGTGTGTGTGTGTGTGTGTGTGTGTGTGTGTGTGTGTGTGTGTGTGTGTGTACGCGTGTTGTGTTGAGTGTGTTACTGTCTTTGCCTGGCAGCTGTCACAGAGAACAAATCAAGTGAAACAAACTTTATTTATCTGTGAATAGTTTTGGGAACTATTTTGTATATTTTACACTAATAATGTCACTCATTAAGATCTTTTAAAAATATGAACATGTTTCCCACAGATGGCAGCGAGGTGAGATGGGGAAACAGATTTAATGCAGGGCTTAAGTTCACAGGTCTACACCGGTGTTCTGACTCACATGGTACAAGCTGCATCTCAGCCACACACACACACACACACACACACAACAAACAGCTCATCGTTCGTTTGATTAACGACGCTTGGATCTGGTTTTATAATCTCTGCAAAATAAACACACTCTTTGAAATTGTAATTAATTATAAGTGCAATAAAAGCAGATGAATTAAATAGCAATAAGGATCAGCACTCTATCATCTGACTCTTTTTACACATTAACAAAAACACCTGAGGCGGTAGAAAAAGATTACAGGCAGCGTTTTCCTGTTTGAAGCAACTGAAGATAGTCAGACAGATTAAAAGATTCCCTCCGGTAAAGTCAGGGTGAGTATAACACACACTCTGTCACTGAAGGCAGGCACCACATCCTGATGTGTGTGATTATGTAAAAGGGGTTTTAAAAGAAAGAAAGACAATCTAACGTCATCTTTTAATAACTTCGGAAATCCCGCAAATTGCTTTAGCTTTTGATCTGCGTGATTGTGTTTGTGAAGAGCGGGAACGTGGCACGCAGCCAAGGGGATGCAAACTTCTCTTAAGGCTTCAGAGCAATTAGAACGTCCAAATATAAATCTCAAAATCCACCTCTGAAAGAGATTTCCTAAAACAAATTTAGCTACATCTGCAGGAAGTACAGTTCTTCAGCAGGAAGAGACGAGAAAGAGCGCTACCCCTGGTTTGACATTTTAATAAAATGAAAACTTTAAAGTGATTCTTTAAAAATCAGCCGGATGAACAGCTGCTCTGTTGACTTAAACCCGACTGTTGAAGCACCGCTGCCATCTCCTGACGGTGAACAAGCTCCACTCTGATGCAACCTGTTACTTTATAAAACCTGCAAAGCGTTGACCTGAGAGGATAATAAGCGTTAATGCTTCCAAGCCAAATAAGCGTTATTCTGATTTAAACCTCTTCTGCTGATACAGTTTTTGAGTATCTTACTGAGATCCTCGGCCAGCTGGACTCTGCGGCCCGTAATGAGCTGGGTCTTTTTCTCCACATCTTCCCCGAAGTCGTCTAAAACCTCCTTCACGTTTTTCTCCAGCCGCCGCACTGCAAAAAGTGAAGAAACCTCTCAAATAAAGCATTTAAATCTAAAACTGGGCACTGCATCTTTCAGGGAGTGTTTCTTTTAAATTCTGTCATGATGTTTTATAAATATTAAAAATGATGAGCGAGAAGCCGTTTATTATTTTACGGTGAGCAGACTTGAGGATATAGACTCTAGGATTGATTGTATTACTGAACACACCTGGTTACTAGAAAGCTCGGACCTGATTTAAAAGTTCTGCAGCTTCCATCATGTATTCATTTCTTCTCTGATTTATAGAATTTAACATGATTACATTTCATAAAAAGTATCCTAGTGTGAACAATAGAAGTTGTGTTAGAGGAAAAAAAATAAAATAAAGAACTAGATGTAAAATGATATTCTATCAACTGAAAACACGAATGAAACTCGGAGCCTCGTCGTCACCTTCTGTGTTGGTGAGCTGCTGTCGGAGAGTGTTGGCTGTGATGACCAGCATCCGCTGTATCCTCCAAAACAGAACCACATCATTGCACTCCAGCTGGAAAAAAACAAGCAGCGTCAAACCTGAACTCAGTACAGGTGTGAAAAAGCTACAAACAAAAACAAAAACAAATCGTCTTCTCCACTCACCTCAGAGTCCACAAAGTGCCTCTGGTAGTAATAGAAGCCTCTCTTGCAGAGGTTGCAGTGGGACAGTGCTTTCTGCAGGAAGTGCCTGCGATACAGCTGATGCCACGTGTCTTTGATCTGTGGAAAAAAATCAGTGTAAAGTGTCAGAAATCTGTTACACGATAAAACGACTTTTGATGTTACCAGCAACTAGAAATCCATTTATTTAGCCTTGTTAAAATGATCCGAGCTTAAGGTCTCACCAGCGCCGGATCGACCTCCACCCCTCGCCCCTCCAGGTTCTTCCTGACTGTGGTGACCTCATCATTGGCCAGGTAAGCGGTGTGGTCATCATGCAGCTTCAGCAGGCGATCCAGCTCGTTTTTGGTTTCATTACGAATGTGCTGCAGGGCCAGGAACATTAAGATGTGTGCTTTAGCTTGTAAACATTTCTGATTTAACTGGTTTAACGCCATTTACTCTTAAATGATTTTCTACCTTTTTACAGTCTGGGTGGTTTATAAAGCAGCATAATAACTGCTGATTCTGACCTGATCTGGAGTACGGTTCTTCCAGTTTAGCCATCGCTCTTTCCAGTCAGGGCCCACCATGTCTCTGATCACCGATTCGGCTTCAGGAACAAAACGAGACATTAAAAAAACACAAAACGCGATTAGCAGTCTTAGCAGGGTGAAGCTGCTTTTAGCTACTATGCTGCACACAGATGCAATCAGAAGTGTATTTTTATTGCGTCGTCACGTTATTTTAAATGTTCGCGCTAATCTTGCTAAAGAAAAGCACATTGAACTGCTTCTGTGTATAAAATGTGCTATATAAATACAGCTGCTTGGCCACTTTTGTTGCTTGTGCCGTGTTAAATCCTGTTTACAACTGAATACATTTGTAACTATAAAAAATACCCGAAAGTGAACAACAGAAGCCATGTTAGAGGATATAAAATAAAAGTAATTAGGTGAACAAATATTATAGTTTGCAACAAAATAAGATAATTGCAGTTGCTGTTGCAGAGGGGGTACAGGGGTATTTTAGAACTAGGATTTTAAGCAGTTTATAGCAAAATAAAAATAATTGGGTAGGGATGCACCAATAGTGATACAGGTATCGGTATCGGCACCGATACTATACTAATACCAGTATCGGTAAAAGTTAACCGATACCAGGAACCGATACCAATGCAGTTGCTTGAAAGTGGCTTCACTGTAACTTGTCACTTCTGTTCACCTAATATTTTAGTTTCATGATGATTTCCATTCATATATTTTACTTTTTATCTACCTCACAGTCTTTTCCTGTTGAAAGCAGAGAAGAAAATAAAATCTGTATTCCAAATAATTGCATTTTTTTGTGTGGTAGAAGTATCGGTATTGGTAATCGGTATCGGTGAGTACTCAGATCCAAGTATCGGTATCGTATCGGTTTGGAAAAAAGTGGCATCAGTGCATCCCTATAATTGGGTGTAGTTGGAATCATAACAGGATGTCACTTAATTTGTAACCCGACACCGATCAGCGCATTTTAAACACACTGCAGTAAATCAGAGGTCAATGCAGCTGACATACTGTCTTTGAGGCGGGACTGTAAGGTTTCCTCCATGAACTGGATTGCTGCATCCCACTGAGGCTTGTCTGTGATGGAACGATCCTCTAGAGCGTTGTGCTGGATCACCCTCTGACAAACACAACATCCAAACGTTACAGTAAATTAGAATTGGCGTTGGAATCCAGTCACGACAGCCATGGAGATTTTTCTGTGCTCACCAGGCTGTCCAAGGCCCTCTCGTTCCACTTGTGCCTCTTGATGCTCTCATCCTTCACGGCCTCCTTCAGCTTGTCAAAAATATCATCCTGGTCTTTGCCTTTGTATTCAGCAATGAAACGGGCAAACTCTTCCTGTAATGTCTCCCAGGCAACCTGAAACAGGATGATTACACAAAGTTTAGGAAATGACTACAGCATCAATACCCCTATTCCAAAATGAAGATGCATATAACGTAGTCATAAACATCTTATTTACCTCCAGTGCTTTGTGTGGAAGCTGCTTGTCGGTCCACTGCTTGAGCTTGATGTCTACAGTGGTGTTAAAGGTACCAGAGTCCATTGTTTGGGCAGCAGGCAGGTAGATGTTCTCTATGACGTGTGTGGACACGCGTTCCCACAGCTTCTTCTGTAGAATAGCTTCCCTGTGTGAAAGAACAAAAGGAAATGCGACTCTGGAACAACAACAGCAACTTCTGTTTTATTTATTTGTGATGTAGCTTGTTGCTCTAATCTTAGTTTTCTACTCAGATGTAAACATCTTTAGTCAGGCCAACGTTCTGCAGGGCTGTGTAAAGAGACCCGCTGGGGCAGGGACAGTTCACCTCTGTAGTCAGAGCTGTGGCTACAGCGTTTGACACTGACCCTGTTAGTATCTCCGCTCAGAAGCAGTGTGACTGTGTCCCCCTGAGTCCCCCATCACCACAGCAGAGTTGTCCTGTTCTCATTTATCATAAACACTCACTCATATTTCATTTAGCTCCCTTTTGTTTAAGTTAGCTCTCTCCGCTGTCGATAAACGCTTTCTCCAATTGTGCTGGTGGGCTAACAGGGCCACCCTCGCTCATGCCCATGAGCCATTCATCAGAGCATCGATCTGCGAGAACTGAAGGCTCACACACGGGGGGATGGTAGTAACACAATGCATACATCTCATTTAAGCAGGGTTTTCCTCTTTGTGGATAAGTTATCACTACACACACTCACACACAGATACACGCAGAAAGAGAAAAAACTCAGCACGCACGGACGGCTGGAAGGTGGAAATGCTGCTAAAGTTTGATCTTACAACGTCCGACTATATTTTCACCGATTTGTTTCCTGCCTCTCCCCACTGTTGTTTGGAAGCAGTATTACAACTGTCGTAAAGATAACGTGGTCAGACAAAATGTTGTATATAGTATGTTTGTGTTTGGCAGTTCACAAAAAGAGAAAAACTATTAGGACTTTGCTACTTTTTAGATGCTTTTAACCAAACCAACGAGTGCAGGTCAGGCCGATGTTCACTCTTAGCTCTATGCTTCGTCTCAAAAGACATCACTCTGATTTTTATTCCCAGGCTCCGCCATGACGCCTTCAACAAAACTAAATTATTATCCTTTATGTGATTTTTATTGATATTCGACAAACTGAGAAAGCTAACTGCTAGCCTTTATGCTAGCTACCAGTACAGTAAAGCTATGTAGCACTAGCGCTCCCACCCGAACCACTGAAGCTGTTGAGTACAGTTTTTGGTCGGCAGAAACGTTCAGCAGTGTTCATGGCTGAAGAACCACTGAAATGTTTTAGTGTTGCTTTAAGAAGGCTCCATATTTATTAATAGAATATTATGTATTTTATATGATTTTATTATAAACTCACCAGTGTTGTGGAGTGACTTGACTCAAACTAATGACTTCATCCAAGATTTCATTTTTGGCCTTTTCAAAAAGCTCATTCTGCAAAAAACCAACACAAAACAATATAATTTGTCTTTTAAGCAATCTCTTACAACCTATGTCTAGTGTTTATAAGCTTATTTAATCAAAATAAATCTTATTTATTCATTCAAAACCAATCAAATTATCATGTTTCCTTATAGCATTATTAATTTAAGGGGTCTTTATAAACGGCGTGTTCTCACTCTGTCCAGCTCTCTCAGGCGAGGGTAGTTGTTCTTCCACTCAGTCTCCAGGTTGAACCGCGATGCTAGAAAGAAGAAGGACCATCATAAATATTTTATTCAATCAAAGCATATTAAAACTTAAGCAGAGTGTTTTAACCCATCATTAAACTGAAATCATTACCTGTGGCCATGACCACAGACACACAGCCTGCTTTGTTTTCACTTGCTGTGACATAGAAGCCACTATGAGATCACCAATGGTGCCCATCCTCTTATAAAAATGGCTGAGGACACTTTGCACACTCACTCTCCTAACTGGGCCTTTGGGAAGTGAAGCAAGGGGGCCAATAGCATGCCATTTAACAAAAATCACAGACTTAGCTTTCGCATATGCGCAGAGACAGAAACACAGCGTGTTCAGTGCCCCTTCCCTCAAGTCCCTATCCACAGCGCAGATTAGTCTAATTGTAGGTTTGTGGCGCCAAGAATGGAGAATGAAAGCCGGCTGCGTGTGGTTTGATGGGATACGGATCAATACGCAACACAATAGGCCTATGGGAGCTGCAGTCTCACAGCTATAAATCTCTTACGCTGTTAGCAATAGCTTGTGATTGTCTAGACTAATTGAAGAAGGCAGTTGAGAGGGGCTGGAAAAGTGTGGCAGGTCACTAACAGGGAAAAACAACTGCTGGCTGTCTTTACAGCCGACACCTGGCATCCCAAAAGGACTTCAAGAAAATATTCAGTGCTGCAGGAAGATTCCCTAAATGACAGGAAATTAACAAATCAGCCCTCTTCAGTTCCACTGTAGAGGGTGCTTACCTTTAAAAACATCAGCCTGCTGCTCCACTGACTCACTGACCATCTTCCAGAAGCAGTCTGACACGGCCAGACTCAGGTTCTTGGTGGTCACCTGATGAGCCTTCAGCATGCCGTCCCTGGTGTCACAAACAGATTACAGTCAACAACAAGCAGCCGCACCGACACGGAGTTGATAAAGCAGTACTTGCCTCACTAATCTGGAGCTCTGGAAAAAATCCTCCTCATACTCTTTGATGGAGTCGATGCTTTCGCTGCTGCTACCTTTAAATGGGACAAGATGAGTTTCGTCAGGATTTAATGATAAACCGCAAACATGGAACGCTGGATTGCTGAATCCGAGATTACCTCTTCCTGTCACAACAGCAAAATAACCCAGAGCCTTCATAGGAAAGAGCTTTCCTTCAATGATCTGCTGGATCTGAAACAGGAGGTGTCAAGAAAAATGAAAAAAGAAATACACCGTAGGTTTATTGCTGAAAATGTAAGAATATTTTGCCACGTGTGTGGACAGAGCGCCCTCTTGTGGCTGAAAAAGATCTCTTACTCTACTTGGACTGGCCAGGTTCTTCTCAGCTAAGTCCACTTTGGTCAGAACAAAGATGGTTCTCCTTCCCTGAGGATCCATCTGACTGACCAAGTCTGTCACAATGCTCCGTTCTGCGTCCACACTCCCATCTGGATGCAAAACAAAAAGGAATGCATGTGAAAAAGAAAAGACTTTGGATTTAGAGTTTTGTTCAGTTTACTCAGAAATGACGCAGCCAGCTCCGTTTACAGGTGACTGTGGGGAAGTGATGTAACAAGCCGATGGCTCACCCTGAATACAGAGAATGATGGCGTTGGGGTTCTGCATGTAGGCTTTGCTCATGCTGAAGATGGTTTCCTTAGTGTCTGTCGCCATGCCTGTGGTCATCGTCTGCAAACGAAGTACAATAAAATTATAATTCTCAGGAAAACTTCTAATTCTATCAGATTCAAGAAAGATAAAACAAAAAACATGAATTTTATTTAAGATAACGAAGAAATGTTAAAAACTAAAAAAAAGAATCCACCTGAAGAAATCAGTGTTAGTGTGTACTCACACTGATGACACCTGGTAGGTCAACAAGTACCATCCTCTGAATGCCTGGACCTTTAACACTCAGGGATATGGTCTATCATGTAGGGAACAAACATGATTATTTCATGAAACAATACAGAAATGAATCAGAACAGAACCATGTCCAAACCTCTGAGCTGACGGTCTGTCCCTCCTTCACGTTCTTCCTCATCCTCAGCTCAATCTCATGCCTCAGAGCAGCCAGCTGCGAAGCAGAAACTTGTGTGAAACGGCAGCGAGGTCAAAGTTCAGATTAAATGCATGAATGAATCAGTAACCTACGTCCTCCTCCTTAGTGAGGTCAAACTCTCGACCGCTGTCTTTGAACATTGCTACGTGGTGGGGGCCTTCGCTTAATGTTACCTGTAGAAGAAAAAAAAAACACACGTTTGAGTTTCTTCCCCATCCATCCATCCATCCATCCATCCATCCATCCATCCATCCATCCATTTTCTGAACCCGCTTTGTCCACGTAGGGTCGCGGGGGGGCTGGTGCCTATCTCCAGCGGTCAATGGGCAATCAGGCGAGGTACACCCTGGACAGAGAGCCAGTCCATCGCAGGGCAACACAGAGACACACAGGACAAACACACACACACACACACCTAAGGACAATTTGGACAGACCAAACAACCCATCAGTCATGTTTTTGGACTGTGGGAGGAAGCCGGAGTACCCAGAGAACCCACGCATGCACAGGGAGAACATGCAAACTCCATGCAGAAAGATCCCAGGCCGGGAAGCGAACCCAGGACCTTCTTGCTGCAAGGCAACAGCTCTAACCACTGCGCAGCCCGAGTTTTTTACCCATCAAATCAAATTTATTTGACCTGCAAAATATAACAATTAATTTAATACAGTTGTCGGTAAACTTTATGTATCTTCTGATTAATCCAGTGGTACAAATATTAAATCAGCCCCTGAAATCCTTCTCACCTTGACAGGAGAGCGTGTCATCATCTCCCCCGAGCCCCTGGGGAAGATCCTGGCCTGGGCTATCATCTCCAGCACGCTGGTCTTCCCAGCACTCTGATCTCCAACTACGACTACCTGAAACCAGAGAGGGAGACCAAGTACTAACACCTATTTTACTAAACCAAAAGTTATAGGAAATAGGAATTATCCAACAGATTGTCAGAAATATTAGATTAATACATATTTTCGGACATTCATCCAAATGATTCCACTTTTTAACACTCTTGATAGACAGAAGCTAACAGAGATTCCCTCCTTACCCTGGGCAAGTGGTCCTGGGTGTTGTAGTTGGAGTCGTAGTCGGACAGGATGTCGAGGACTTCAGAATACAAGTCAATGAGAGATTTCTGTGCAATAAAACCATGTAAATGAATGTCTATGATTCATATTGTCAAAGTAACATTGGTTCATCAAAGTTTGTTTTTTTTATTACAAAGCAATCCTGTATAAAGCAAAACTTTGCCAAACATTTAAGTCAGAAATTTTTAAAACAATGCTGACACATTTGAAGTATTTGTTTTTGCCATAAAGCTGCAATAGCAAACTCGGAAATTATCTTAGCTAGCAATTAGCTTAAAACACTTTGTGTATGCCTCTTAACAACATTCTGACATTGTATAGTTATAAACATATTGTGGAAAAAAAACATAAAGTGGTTTTCTTGCATTTGTCAAAAAGTAGGGCTGCACAATATATCGCAAATATATCGTTATCGAGATATCAGCAGATATTCTTGTTCAGATATCGAGATATTCTTGTTCATTGTCTTTTTCCTTTTCCTCACTTTTATGATGTTTTCTTCATTTGAGTGTCCTAAAAAGCGCTATATAAGTTTGATGTATTATTATATTTTTTCTTTGTTTTTGATCATTTTTGTTCCCGAGATAAGTTTTTATTAATCACAAGTAATATCGTCATTGCAATATTATTCACTGTTATCACACATCGCAGGTGTTCCTAATTTCGTGCTGCCCTATCGAAAAGCCTCAGCCAATAACATGTTTTGGGCCAAAAGCAACCACTGGACCATCTGGTTGTTGGTCTCGTCAAACCGTTGCACTTCCCTGGGTCCTCCTTTACACACTCGCATATTTAGCAACAGAACACTACTGGTGTGAGAGGTTCTCCGCTCAACAGCCGTCTGCTTTAACTTCAACTTTAGGACAAACTACCAGAGTCCCTAAAAGAAAAACACTATTTGAAGTCAGACAACATAAGACATTTGGACCTAGAAAACAGCGACTGGCGTTTAGCGCCATCTTGTTTCCTCTGGCAAGGCGGGTGTACGGTTCCTTCAGAAGATAGTCGAGGTGAGGGGTGAGTGTTCATAACCTAGCTTGTTCTGAAGATTCACTAAAGCAGCTTTAATCTCACCTTCACTTTCCTTTGATGAATCCCCTTGTCATCCTTTTGCAGCACCACCTTCCTTAACTCCTTATTTTCCTTCTCCAGTCTCTCCAGCATTCGCTGATACTTAAGCTGTGGGATTAAATAACGTTATCCTATTAGAACCGTTATCACTTTAAAAAGCTGTAGCAGAAAAGTCTGGTGGTTGGACAAAAATGTTAAAGATTTAAAATCTGTTTGCCATCTACATCTCACTATTTATGTATTTTGTTTGGTGTGCGTCTTCTCCATCCCCAGTGAGTCATGGCAGATGGCTGCTCATACTGAGCAGCGCTCTGTTGGAGATTCCTTCCTGTTAAAAGGGAGTTTTCCTCTCCGCTGTCACTACATGCTTTCTTAGTATGCGGATTGCTGTAAAGACTCTGAAACAAGTCAGTGACTCGATGGAATCTGCTGGGTTTTCTTAGATAGGAAACTTTTAACTAATTGGAATAATGAACTGGACTCGGTGCACTGATGTTTGCTTATTTTAGTCGCTTGACTTGGTGAGAGCTGGTGTTATATCAACAAACTGAATTGAATCGTAGCATTTTCAAAAGGTGCCAAGTCATTTATTTGTGAACTTTTATGGACAAAAACTATTTTTGAACCAGATTGGTCTCAGCAAATAAACAATAAATCAGCTTTACCTGAGTACGAAGAAGCTCTTCTTGAAGTTGGTCTACTTTCTCTTTGTCTGATGACTAAAAATGACAAGAGAAACACAACAGAAACATCAAGGCTTTCTGTTGGTTGAAATGATGGTCTTCCCATTACTCTCTCAGCTCTACTGCTAAAGATTACACTCCCATCAACACCATACAGATTAAATCATGCAAACTGCATAACAGAAAGGGCAGAAAGTCACGTTAATGCATGAAGAGACCAAACATTTCAGAAAGACAGTTCTCATTAATCAGCTTCAATCACAGCCATCCACAAACAGTCAGCAACCACAGAGGGAACCCTGCAAAATCACAAAATTATTTTATTTCATCTTGCTTTAGAATTATTTCACATATTTGATCACATCTATTTTATACAACCGCCCCAGGTGATTTACGGATGAGACGCAGAACAGAAAACAGGAAACGACAAACAAGAACAAACTGAACTAGCAGAAGAAGAAAAAAAGACACACCAAACTATATAAACAAAACTCCTCCTTCAACAAAAAGCAGGCTGTGGTTTAATGTCTCTTCTAACAATATACGTCAAACACTAACAGTTCCATAAAAATAAAAGTTGAGGAGGAGATGTAAAAATCTTCTTGAGTTTAAGCTTTTTAACTTCAGAACTCAGAAAGTGTGGTTCACACCATGCAGCAGGCTGCCACCCAACTCCATGCTGAACTTCCACACATTTACAGAAAACTGTTGAAATCAGATGAGTAAAGCCGAACAACTGCTTTTAGAGTCTGTGCACGTTCTCCATGGATGTCTGGTCAGTTTTACCACTACAGGGTGACACGTGGAGACTATTCCTGCATGTTTAATAAGCATCAATATAAACTGGATGAGCTTATTTAACTTAACTGACAGAGAGCTGCTCTGGGCTTTTGGCTGAGGTGCTCTGGAAGCTCGGGTGGGCTAGGGTGGCTCTAAGGAGCGTGGGACCTTCACCTTGAATTTCTGTGGAGGGGGGCTGGGGTTCGGAGGCGTACTGGGAGCAGGATCTTGGGGTGGTGGACGCGTGCTATTGGCTGCAGCGCCCCGCCGGACTTCCTCCTCATGCCGCTGGATCTGCTGCTGAATAAGAATGAGCTCGCCGAGCAGACCCTGCTGGGGTACGTCATAGTCAGAGAGAGGAAGGAGGAGCAAAATAAAAAAAATAACAACAACAGGCCACTGGGCTTGTCAGTCATGCAGCCTGCTGCTGCATGCCGATACAGGAGACCTGATCTGGAATACCGGCGCTACTGTTGTTCAGGCAGCAGAATAAAAATTCAGTCAAAGCTGGAAAATTAGCTTTCCTTTTGGTAATCTTGCCACCATGATCAATGCAACCAGACAAAGTCTGTCTCTGCAGAGGAGGCATCTAATACCACAACAAGAGCCTCTCAGCAAGCGGCAACAACAGTGATCCTGTCCTCCTAACTCGCTCACAATCACAACGACTTGATCCCTGCATCCTCATCATCACTGACTTCACTCTGGACAGAATAGACGGCAGCAGAAAGTCCTCTTGTAGCCGAGGACGGGTCATTGTGAGATAGAGTTTTGATGGTAAAGGAGGAACGCCAATAAGCAAAGCGAGCATTGGAGTCCATCAGGACAAAATCCCCCAGCCTCGTTTCAAATGCTCTCCAACGTGATGCACATCATTTCTCTTAATTAGGTGTTTTTTGTCTATTAGTTGCTGAAAAGTTCAAACATCAACAGTTAAAAGTAAACAATCAAATTAAATTAAAAGTCATGATGAAGAGCATGATTGCAGGCTAACAGCAGAACACCTTACCTATGGTATTTGATTTTGTGCTTTGAGAGAAATAATAATAAATACGCAAAAGACAAAAACAAACACGGACAAACTGAAACTATTTAAGACGGAAAATAATAATGAAAAAGACTGAATGAATATCACATTTCTTTGGTTAGAGTTACAAAAAATACATATCCGTAAGTTAACCTTTTTTTAAATTAAATAAAAAGCACACAGAAGCATAATAAGCAGTGAAACTGTGGTAAAGCAGTGGACATGCTTATGCAAAAAGCTTTGGTGTAAAATGGACTTTAGATGATTCATTTTTAGGTAATAACAAGTGCTTACTTACCGCTGAGAGCTCACTTTTACTCCAATAACTTATAAAACCCTTACAGACACCAAAGTCTTCAGGTTTCGTTTCTCAGAGTGTTTAAATGTCTTATCTTTGAACAAAAACACTTGTATTAAAGTTTCTGAGAACACTCTGAGTCGGAGCAAACTGCGAAGCAGCCAAGCAGCCAGCAGGAGGCGAATCAGCCAAGAGCCGTGGGGGCATAAGTAGGGCGGACATGCTGCACACACTTGCCTTTTTGTACTGCTTGTCGCCGGCGTCATGTGAGCCTGCAGCTGTAGAATCTGTGGCTTTTAGCGCGGGGTCAACGGAGGTTTCTATCAGAGACACAAAAATGCAGAAATAAACAGAAGCTATGAGGAAAAAATGATTTAAAAACACAAACAGTGCTTTTTGCTGCAGATGGTCCCAATGAAACAAAATCACTAGGACATTTAAAACTAAATTTTAGCACATTAGTAACACAGAAACACACTTTGAAGATTAGAAATGAGCAGAATTGTGACAGGTGGCTTGGGGGGGGGGGGGGGGGGGATCACATTTTTTGAGTTTAAATAACAAAACTGAGGTCATTATGTTCTAAATAATGATCATCAGCCTTGTGGTCTTGACCTAAGCTCCTCATGGAAAGTGAACACCAACCATATTTGAATTATTGTGCAAAGGTCTGGGGTAACACTTATAAAACTACATTATCACCAATAATAATATTACAGAAGAAAACCATCAGGATTATTAATAAAGCGGGCTATAGAGATCATACTAACCACCTGTTTTTGAAACCACGAGTATTAAAGTTTACTGACCTTGTTCAATTCTTGACATTACAAATAATATATAAAGCTAATGACAAACTACTCCCTGGTACAAAAGTATTTCTCATATAGAGATAAACAATATCATTTGAGAGAGGAATGGAATTTAAACTACCCATCTGTGTGAACAACAGTAAAAAGTCAGTGCATCTCTGTATGTGGGGTAAAATAATGGAATGGATTAAATAGTGATTTAAAACAATGTCCAAGTATGACCCAATTTAAAAAGTGGTACAAAAATATGGTCTTCATGAGAAATATGGTCTTCATGAGGTACAGAAGAGGGATTTTGACTCAAAAAGATCCAATGAGTTGTGTGAGGGTGTAAGTGTACAAAAGAAAATGGGGTGTGTTGTAAGTATGTGTAGTAGGGAATGTTAATCGCTGTGTGTGGTGGTTAAATGGAAAAGGTATGTAGAACAATTTTGCATGTTATGGTGTAAATGGGCCATTTGACTATAGATGAATTTAGAAAATTTATGATGAATTAGGAGAACAACATTGTTCCTTTTGATCTTGAACAAATGGGAAAAGGGGGGTAGGATTTAATAAGCACTAGCTTCCTCCTACTCCTTTTCGAACAGAACATGATAATTTAATGTTTGTGTGATTATCAGTGTGATTTTATTTTTAATGTCAACAATGACTTTATTATTACTATTGTTATAATAGTTATTTTTATTTTTATTATAATGTTCGAAATAAAGATTTCATTCATTCATTCAAACATATATCTCCTGGTTTCCCTTCACTGTCTTCTTGTGGAACATCAGATCCATGTAAAGGCTTTAGTTCATGTATAAAAGGCCCTTGCAGGGACTAAGCTGGCGTAAAGCATGCTCCATCGAGATCCCTGCGCCCAACCCATCAAAGTCTTTTCAACGTCCACTAGAAATCACACAGGCGCCTTCTTTACAGATCTTTAAAGCTAAATTGGTCTAGCATGAGTTTATTAGCAAATCCTTGTTTTAATAGTATTTTATCACTTTCAATTGTGTTTAACTTGATTTTATCCTGTAGCATTATCATGTTATTAATTTACTTTACTTGGGATACCTTTACTGGTAGCATGAAATAGCTATAATAGTGAAATATGAAATATAAAGGTGCTTTATAAATGACTAACTGAAATGCAGTAGGCTCAAATATGTAAAAAAAAAAAAGAAAAAAAGAATACACTAAAAAAATATTTGACAGTTGGATTATTTATGTGAATATTTATGAATATTTAACAGTGATAAACCATAACCATGACAGAAAAAAACCATCAACTATAAAATCATCTAAAACTGTTGATTTTACGCAAAGCTGACATAAATTAATACAATGGTGAAAACAGTAGTTTGTAAAAAAATTTTCTTTGTAAAAAAAATACATAATCTCATACAAGAGTAAAGCACTCTTGCAGTCTTGTTTTTTTAACGGAAAATTTCTTCAAAGATTGGAATGGGAAAATATTACGACTTTTACATTAATTTATTGGAAAAAATACAGCTGTTAATTTATGGTGTAAGAAGTTTACTTCCTGTTTCCCAGTTTGCTTTGCGGCATTTAGGTGAGATCTGGTTGAACCGTTAGTCAGAGAGAAGCGTCTGTTCTTGACCTGACCCGTGAATGCACATGAGGGCTGTGCTGCTGTTCAACACTGATGTCATCACTGACTCAACGCTTTTGACTGCTACGATTTTACACACCGCTGCAGTCGAAAGACATACACAGCAATTAAGCAGGCAAAGCCATTATAACTGGTTATGACCCCAATGGCAGTTAATTGGTTATTTCATTCAATGAATTTATTGCAAGTAATGAGGAAAACCCTTTGAATTTTGTTTTTATTGTGAAAAAAATGTTATTTTTAATGGAACAAATTTTTTACTTTATAGATTATTTTCACGTTCATTTTACGGTAAAACAATGGGGTTTTTTCCCAGTAAAAACACTTTTTCTATAGTAAGACACAGACTCCAGTACCATTTTTAACCGTAAAAACAACAATTAAAAAATATCTTCTTACTGTAAAAGAAATACATTTTGCCCGTAATTTCACAGTACCATTCCAGCAACCCAGCTGCTGGCGTTTGACCGTAAAGTCTAATTTCTACAGTGTGATTAATAAGGGCAAACTAACACAGTTGATGTGTCAAAATAAACAAACATCAGCAGCTAAATGCTTTTAGTGTGATGTTGTCAACAGTCATCTTAAACATGACCTCAACACACAATTTTATGTAATATTGTATTAGTTTTTTTAAAGTGACGATGTGTATTTTCCCAGGCAATAATGGGCAGTAAATAACACATTTTTGTGTTTGAGTTAGACCTTACCAACAGATGGCTATTATGGTCAAAAATCCCTGGGAGCGCAGCCTCCAGCTAAATGACAAGCACCTCAGACCTTTGACCTGCAGTTCTAAGATCTACCGACCGCAAAAACAGCGGAGTGCGCGCTGCTTGGCGGCCGCATCAATGATCGGTGCGTCACCGGAGGACAAGGTGATGCGCCCCGCTCCACAGCAGCGAAAAGCATCAGGCGCAAATAAAAGACAGAAAACATTAAAGGAAATGAGCCGACATGAACGATAGTGTGTTAAATCCTTTCTTGAATTTTCAGCCTTGTTTTTTTAAATTTGCTGCCAGCAGCTCCTCTGTGACTCAGAAAGTCCAGAAGAAACATGAAGGTGGCCAATCAAAAAGAAACCCGCATAAAAAAATCTTTCATCACTGGCAACGAGTGAAGAGGTGAATGTGTAAAACAACAATGTTTATGAATGGTAAAAGAATTGTAACTGTTTATTATGACTCAGTAAAGCATTTTTTCCTCACGCGCTCCCGTAGAAGAAACATGACGTCTTATATGGCGTTGCCCAGAGACTTAGACCCGGTCCCATTTATTTTAGACCAGATTTTTATGGTTATATGTTACAAAGAAGCAGCCAATTTTTTTCAACAACTCCTTTAATTTTTTTTCCAACAACATTTCGATGGATATTTCCAGAGATTAACGGTGAAAACTACAGATTGAGGATCATTTGTTGTTTTTATGACCCTGCAGAGGTGTGGTCCTCGTCTGGCATCAAGCCGACATAAACCTGATAAAAATCTGACTGAGGTTAACTCAGGTTTGTCCAAAACCTCCAAATATTTGAGTGTTAATAACCAGAAGCAGAAAAAGATTCCCCTAAAGGTTACCAGCACGGGTGTGACTAGAGGAGACCCCACACACGCCAGGTGGGAGGAAGGGTGGAAGTCAAAGGAGGCAAAACATACAAATATGACAAAGTGACAGTCAAAGATGTCAGCGAGAGGAAGAGGAAAAACAGAAGTGGATCATAATAGATTAGTGTTTCTCTCAAAAACACAGTTTAATACTCCGTCAGGAGCTGTAAAGATTTAAAACTAAGCTCTGAACTCAAAGCGAATGATTTCAAACTTGATGCTTTTAATAACTGAAGTAAAAAGGATTTTAGCAGCTGAATCAATAAAAATAAGACAAAATGTCTGCATCAATACGCTAAAGCTAAAACGTTTAGCCCGCTTTATTTAGGATGTAACCGAGAAAATAACAATGCACAAAACTGCTGTTGTTCTTTTTTAAAGTTATAGCCAACATTTATCCTATAAAGATGCGTTAATGTTTACAGCCAAATCACAACAACCCCATCAATGCGGTCAAGACAACAGAGAGAGACAGAGAGAGAGAGGGGAGTCTACAACAAACACGGGTTTTACACACCTAACAACAGATGCAGACCAGAGGCTCCTTTGACTTCACTACCCAAACTCACACCTGTGGAGAACGTGGGGGAGGACAGGAGGGCGGAGGAGAAACCAAGAAAATGTGATCAAAATTATGAAAGACACAGGCAGAGGGATGGAGTACAAACCAGGAATGTGGTCACATGATGAGCATTAAATAATAGCTGTGGCAACACCGGACTGGAGCTTTAACTGAAGTCACTTAATGAGTAACTGGTAAAAAGATCCAGTAAGTTTTCATTTGGGATCACTAATCAACACATAAACAGTTAAATCCTTTCTTGAATTTTCAGCCTTGTTTTTTAAAATTTGCTGCCAGCAGCTCCTCTCTGACTCAGAAAGTCCAGAAGAAACACGAAGGTGGCCGATCAAAAGGAAACCCGCATAAAAAAATCTGACAGAAAAATGTGTTTTTGCGTTTCTGAAAACATAAGATGATGAATTTGAAAGAAACGTGATGTAAGAATGAACCTAGTGACATTCTGACTCATTTACAGGTGAAACTGGAAAATTTTGAATGAGGTGCTAAAGTTAATTTATGTCAGTAAATCAAAAGGTTAAACTAATCTAGGAGACAGATTAATTCCATGCAGAGCCAGATATTTCAAGCCTTTATTTGTTATAATTGTGATGATTATGGCTTAAAGCTTCACCTCTGTCAGTGCGCCCCAGGGCAGCTGTAGCTACATCGTAGCTCATCGCCATCAGTGTTCGTCTGTGTGAACGGATGAATGATACACTGTAGTGTAAAGCGCTTTGGAGTCCTTACTCTGAGAGGCGCTATACAAGTGTGGGTCATTTATCATTTATGGAAACCCCACGTTCAAAATCTTAATGAACCCAAAACACCTGCAGAGGGTTCCTGAGCCTTAGATGGTCTCTCAGTCCAAGATGAATTACTGACATAAATGGACTTTTGCACCATATTCTCATGTATCCAGTGTCACCAGTGGAGATAAATCTGACAGTGACACTAGAAAAGCTAACAGGACGAAGGCGAAAACAAAGCTGGGTTTCCTTTAGTGACATTATTGCAATCTTCACTCAGATGTGACTTTTATTCTTCAAGCACAGCAAGTCTTTTTATTTACTCACTAGATGAGAGGAGGCTTTTAAGGAAAGTGAAGTTCTCTCCTATTTTCTCGAAGTCAGGGAGGAGTTTGGCAATTTCTTCCATCTCTGGTAGAGCTTTGGCCAGTTTATCTGTGAATAAAACACAACAGGTCAAATAAAGAAGACTAATACAGTCTTCACACTAACAGCATGGTGTGTATGTGTTTTGATGATTGTGTGTGTGTTTAAAAACAGAGGGAATTCAAACACACACTGGATGCTTGTTGGGAGCGTCTGGCCTGAGTTTTACAATTACATTCAGTCTTAAAAACTGCAAATATCGTCTGGCTTGTAGTATCACAATATATCGTATAATTTCTTCTGTATTGTGATCAGTGTTGGGAACGTTACTTTAAAAAAGTAATTAGTTATAGTTACAAATTACTCAGTAACTCAGTTACTTACTGAGTTACAAGATTAAAAAAGTAACTAATTATCAAGAAAAACAACTATCATTAATTTTTTCATAAAAGAATGCAAGAAAAACTTAATTTACTGTAAATTACTACAATACTAAAATATAAATGGCTCAAAAGACTTGAACAAAATGTGTATGTCTAAATTTTTAGAAACTGAAAAATTAAAATAAATGGGCACTACAAACAGGAAACATCACACTAATCTAAACTTTGAAAATGTCACTGTGTGACATGAAATAAGACCCCAATCAACTGTAAATTATAACTGCAAATAGGGAAACCTGTAAAGGGTTCCTGAGCCTTTAAAGCTGCTTTCCAGAGTTTTCCTCTTTCAGAAATTATGTATGATTCGTCAGAAATCCGTAAAAGTGATTATCTCATCATCAAGATACGTGACCAAGCGTGCCAGCTTTGTTACATCTGCTGAAACGTCTAATCAAACTTTCCCTTCAAGATCCACAGTACATAAACCCTTCAAGCAACCAGAGATGTCTCAAGGAACGTCGATCAAGAATCGTTGATATTGTAAAGGCCCACATCCATTAATGACATGCCCAAAGTTTAAGGATGTTCCTAGAAAGGAAAAGATTGGATTCTTAAAGCAAAGGGGAATCTGTTTTGGATGCCTTAAAGTTGGACATGTGAGCAAAGATTGTAGAAATCGCTTGACTTGCGAGGAATGTGGTTTCAAGCATCCAACTTTTCTTCATTTTGACAAAAGTCATAATCAAGTTGAACATCAAGAAACCTGTGGATACACTGGGGCCGGAGATTATGGATGTTTGCTTTCTGTTGTACCAGTACAGCTGAAATCCAAAGGACATAATAAAGTGATAAAAACATATGCTCTCTTGGACCCTGGAAGTACTGCAACATTCTGTACAAATGGTGTAATGGAAAAACTGAACGCGCAGAGTGTTAAAACTAACATTCTTTTGCGTACCATGGGACAGGAAAAGGTTGTGGAAACCCAAGTACTCACCGATCTGGAAGTGGCCGAGTTAAATAGTGACAAGTTCATGGATCTTCCAGAAACCTTTTCACAAGAAGCAATACCTATCTCTACAAATCATATTCCTTCTCAAGAGGACATTAAAAGATGGGATTATCTGAAAGATATTAAAATCCCAAGTTTGGATGTGGAGGTGGGACTGCTAATTGGGGCTAATGCAGCAAAGCTTATGGAACCCTGGGAGATTATAAACAGCCAAGAGGATGGACCCTATGCCATAAAGACTTTATTTGGGTGGGTCATTAATGGTCCCTTAAGGGGAAATGTGAAAGGTTGTTCAGCCATTTACGCAAACAGGATATCCATTGTCAAGTTGGAAGAACTGCTGATCTCTCAGTATAACCAGGATTTTAATGAAAAGAGACTGGAGGAAAGGCTGGAAATGTCACAAGAGGACTTGAAGTTTATGGCTATTTTAGAAAGATCTACATGCCAGCAAGATGGTCATTTTTGTATGGACTTACCCTTTAAGGATGATACCATCACCATGCCAAACAAATCTGTTGCTGAACAACGGTTGAAGAGCCTTAAACGGAGGTTTGACAAAGAGCCAAGATTCCAAGAAGAGTACACCAGATTTCTCACAGAGGTGAATGAGAACGGCATATCAGAGGCAATCAAAGTCAAAGTGAAATGTGACAAAGGAGGCGTTGGTCATAAAGAAGGGGAGCAGTTCAGTTTCCACTGGTGGGATCACGTCTTTAACAAGGCATACGCCAGCCTGCAGGTGGAGAGCGATCAGAACGGAACAAAGGTGAAGAAGACAGCGGATGAAGAGGATGGAACGATCTCCAATAAAAAACCACGGAAGGCCTTGTTGGAGAGAGCCAAACTTTATGGAAGCTTTGTGAAGTCCGCCACGCTGCTGTCGGGTCAGGAGCAACCAGAACCAAAACCGTCCAGCTCAGACGACAGCAGCTCTGATGAGGACGACCAGAACCTGGACCTGTCCAGCACCACAAAACTTTCTGACTCTGCCCTGATGAAGGTCTGTGGAGGACGCACCGCTCACAAAGGAGCAAGGCACGGGCTCACCATGAGCGCCAAGTTAGCCAGACTGGAGCAGCAGGAGGCGGAGTTCATGGCCAAGTACGGCGGGAAGAGCCAGACGCCAAAGTCTCCATCAGTTTGTGTCAGTGCGACGACTCAGACAGACGAAGGAACGGAGGAGTGTCGCAGGAAAAAGATGAAAAAGAAAAGATCTACAGAGAAATTTGATCTGATAAACAGTCGGGAGGACTGTGGACCTCCTGAAAAAAGAAGTCAAACAAAAAAAAAACAAAGTTCTTAATGATCGACCCATCACCAAGGCATCCGAGGATATTAATGATTTGGAAGCTCTAACACCAAATCATATCCTGTTGCTAAAAGGAAAACCTCTCCTGACCCCTGGGAGTTTCACTGAAAATGATCTTTACATCAAACGACGCTGGAGACAAGTTCAGTATCTGGCTGACCTCTTCTGGAGTAGGTGGACCAAAGAGTACTTACCGATGATGCAGGAGAGACAAAAATGGATCAAGCCTCGACGAAGCTTTCTGTTGGAGACATTGTCATCATCATGGATCGTTACACTCCTCGGGGATTGTGGACTATGGGAAGAGTTACCAAAACGTACCCAGACAACGCTGGCTTTGTACGAACAGTTGAACTGAAGACTAAGGCTGGGGTTCTAGAAAGACCCATATCAAAAATCTTTCTACTTCAAGAAGCTCCATAAGTTTTTGTAATTGTGTATTCCATCACAATTAGGGGCCGGAGATGTAGGAGCCGTTTATTTTGTGGGTTGGGCTTTCCTCTGTGGTGGTGGTGGTGTTGGGTGCGTCACATGTGATTTAAGTGGGTCCTCAGGTGTTTCGGGTGAGATGATTACGCATGGGTGGCGGGATGAGCATACGGTTTTTACCGCTCGCGACACCATGGCACAATATACTTCCTTTTTGTGATGATCCACTGGGCGCACTACTATCCTTGGAACCGCATCATGTAAAACGCCAGCTAATGCTTGTAAAAGAAAATAAACAAGACTAACGCACAGACAAAAGGAGGTTTGATTTATGAATAGAAGCGCGTCAGAAGCCGCCTCCGCCCTCACCCAGCTGGCTGACAACAGGAAGTGTCAGCACAGGAACGTTACTTTAAAAAAGTAATTAGTTATAGTTACAAATTACTCAGTAACTCAGTTACTTACTGAGTTACAAGATTAAAAAAAGTAACTAATTATCAAGAAAAATAACTATCATTAATTTTTTCATAAAAGAATGCAAGAAAAACTTAATTTACTGTAAATTACTACAATACTAAAATATAAATGGCTCAAAAGACTTGAACAAAATGTGTATGTCTAAATTTTTAGAAACTGAAAAATTAAAATAAATGGGCACTACAAACAGGAAACATCACACTAATCTAAACTTTGAAAATGTCACTGTGTGACATGAAATAAGACCCCAATCAACTGTAAATTATAACTGCAAATAGGGAAACCTGTAAAGGGTTCCTGAGCCTTTAAAGCTGCTTTCCGGAGTTTTCCTCTTTCAGAAATTATGTATGATTCGTCAGAAATCCGTAAAAGTGATTATCTTATCATGTACTGTAATATAATATAAGCAATACGTCTTTTTATTTATTTTTTGCTAAGCACGCCCCCTGCCCCGCAGAGCTCCGTGAAATAGGAAACTGAGCGCCAACCAGAACTAACCAATAGAGTTAGACTACCGCTTAGACGCTTCAGATTTAAAGAATACCTCCGCTGATGCAGAGTTGATGAAATTTACATGGACAAAAAAGTCTCTAAAATATAAATATATGAGAACACAGCATGACATGAGAATAATACTCGTAAAACAACGTGTTTTAGCTGTGTTTGTCAGCTACAGAAGCACATTTATAAACAGAAACGTGAAGTCGCGATCTTAAAAAAACAAAGGAACGGTGTTTTTGTGTGATAGTCTTGTCAGCCACTAGATGGTGCCATTAGACAAGAGAAATACTCCGGAAAGAAGCTTTAAATGGTCTAGCGTAGTTAAAGTACTGAAATAAATGTTATTTTGCACAGTATTCTAATTTTTCCAGTTTCACATAATTGTGCATTTTTAGCATTACTCATAATCTCTAACAGCATATCGATAATTTAAAATTAATTAGTAATTAATTAGGTTACTTGATAATGAACAAACTAACTTTCATTAGTAACGCCATTATTCCCATCATTGCGATATGTATTGTATTGCGATTCTTGCTAATAACACCCCTAATGTTGACCAATGTCAGACATCTTTAGTAGTTTAAATAGTATATATACCAGTAGTTTAAATAATCATGCTGTATTTTAACATTACTCAAAAGAGAATTGTCAATTATTTGAAAGATGACAGATTGATGATAAAAAGTAAAAATACTCTTACCAAGATCTATTTGTTCACTCAGCTCCCAGACAAAATCAGGGATGACCCAGTTGTATTCACTAAAATCAGGTAGCATGTCTCTCCACTCTTCATACGTCTGAGGATTAGATTAGATGATTTGGTCATTTGTCCTTTTTAATAAGCATTTTTGTGCATCAATATCTAAAGAAATTCTTTAGAAGAGAGGGAATTGTGCTACACATACCTTTTTAGCCGTGTAGCCTCCACCTACTGCTGTACCCAGTAGAATGTATCGGAGCTTCAGTAGCCGAGCAGCGAGGCGAGCCACCCAAAAGTTACGCTGCTGTTGGTAGTTATGACCACCTGACCTTGAAGGTTTTAAAGGTCGCATGGGCAACCGAGACATGGAGGTAAAATATCGGGCTGCTGTACGGTGAGGAGGCCGGTGAGGGTTAGAGTTTCCCGAGTAGCGATGGTGGATGGCACGAGACAGAGGATGAAGCTTCTGCAGTGGGATCCGGAATCTCACCCCCATATTGGTTGAGACCAGGTTCCTGCAGGCCTCGCTGGAATAAAAGAAGAAAGGGAAACAAGAAAGGGAAACACTTAAGTAAATATTTCACAATCACACTTTGCTTCTGGAGAGTCAGTCTTTCTGAAAATCTTTTAAAGATGTGGATCAATAGTTTGGCAGCCTTTTTCTACCAATTATTTCCTGTCAAATTAGATTCTGACCCTTTTAGTAGTAATGTTATTTTTTAGGCCAATATAAAAGGGCAGATATAAAACGTTTTAAACTCTTTCACCATGTTAGAAAATCTCTCAAAGTTGAGAAACACATTTTACATTTGAATTTATTCACATTTTGGTAAACCCCTACACCTTTTCATCCGTTGTGGCAAAATGACTTATAGCCTTTAGCTGCCTCCATGACTACATATAGCACCACCCTATAACCACAGCAAACTTTCTAATTAACAGGTTATAAATAGTTCATTAAGGGTTATAAGAAGAGAATTATCAGTTACTTTTATAGAACAAGTAGCATCACGCATGTGAAGACCAAATCGGTGGTAAATATATAAATTACTGCATGTCAGCACACTACCTAATCACCGATATCTACATGCTAATTATTTAGAAGTCATATTCCATATGATGTACTTTGATGTGAAAACATCGGACTTCTGTACCGACACCCAGATTCAGAAAAATAAACATTTACAACCAATCCTTCGAGTGAGTTAGCTTGTTAAGTAATTTTCATTCCATCAGAACCACGGAGACATCGGCAGTTCGATATTTAAGACAGTATGAAATTAAATAAAATACACTTAATTGTATGTTATAAAGCCTGCATCTTCTAAACTAGACCAGAGGTAAACAATATCTACAGAAAACTTGGTGTGCTGCTCAACTGTCACAAGAACCCACCTTACAGCTAGCATTAGCTTGCGGTTCCCAGTAATATAAAAAGGAACTTACCAGGCAGCTTTGCTCCCGACACGCCACATGATGCTATTAACAGCGACTGAAAGTCGATCTCTAACAGATTCTCTCTTCAGTCACAGTTTAAATCATATTTCCTAACTGTACACATCTATTTGCCTGCTACTGAAGCTAGCTAACAAGGGCACAGGCAGAATGACAGTCCACTTCCGGTGAACGGTACTACATCCAAACCAGCACCGGAGGAAAAAGCTCCAGTCATTCAGTTCCAGATTTAAGTTGTTTATGTTTAACCTTTGCAAAAAAAAAAAAAAAAATAAAAAAAAAAAAAAAAAAAGTTTGTTGCATCTCTGGATCTCCCTTGAAGAGACAATGTGTGCCATTCATATAGCTGGTAATTCCAATAGTCTAACAAAAGTTAACTTAGTAAAACATATTTTAGTAATAGGCTTTAAATATTGTACAAACGAAAATACTATAAAATGAGTTTGTATTAAAATTAGATACTTCTCTGCTATATATTTTTCTCATTTTTATTTATAATTTTTTTAAAGGAAAGGTTAAATATAAGTGAAAGTTCCTTATGCAGTCTAGTACAGCACAGGAAGTAGACAGAGTGGCTTTAGCTGAATTTCTCAAATATTTAAATGCACAAAACAGATAACGCAAACGATCAAGGACATTTGAATAGAGGCAGTGTTCAGGGTGAAGTTCAATGCAGAACCAAATGACTAGCAAAACCCCAGATCCATATAAAATGCTTCTGCAAATATTTGCACAGCTGCAGGTAATTAACTGAAATTATTGGTTTTATTTTTAATCTATATTTGTTTTCTATTTGAGAAAGTATTTAGAAAGTAAAGTTGTGCACACCTATAATGAAATTGTTCAAAAAATACTCTTATATGGATTTTTACCTTCTTGATAATGCCACTTTCCTGCTTCGGAACCCACTGATGCTGGGTCCTTCATACATTTTAAATCCTGGCTACAAATTGTCATTAAGTCATAAATCTTTTAAGTCAAATTTCTTTTGACCGCATTGATGGGGTTGTTGTTTTCTCTCAGCCTGAAAAAAGCATTTTGACTCATGTAGCTGCCATTTTTATTCATGTAAAGTAATTTAATAGAGTGTCATGGCAGATTTGAATAATATTTGACCCAAGTGAACAATGGCTTGAAATGGGTTATGGATATCTGGTTTTGGCCTTTGACAGGAAATCAGAGTACCCAGAAATTCTCTGCTGAGACTGAAAATAGCAAAGTGTGATAAGCTTCCAGAATTCATATTTACTACTGTTTAAATTACCAGATAGTAACAATTAAATATTAAGCAAATATACAGTACAGGCCAAAACTTTGGACACACCTCATTCAATGTGTTGTTTTTATTTGTTCATGACCATGACCATTGGGAGAATCTCACTGAAGGCATCACAACTATGAACGAACACATGTAGTTATGTACTTAACCGAAAAAAATGGGAAATTACTGAAAACAAGTTTTATATTCTTTATTTATTTGTTTGTTTGTTTCTAAAATGCCACCGTTTGCTCGGACTACTGCTTTGCACACTCTTGATGAGCTTCAAGAGGTAGTCGCCTGAAATGGTTTTCCAACAGTCTTGAAGGAGTTCCCAGAGGTGTTTAGCACTTGGTGGCCCCTTTGTAAATAAATGGTCATGAAAATAAAGAAAACACATTGAATGAGGTGTGTCCAAACTTTTGACCTGTACTGTATATTTAGTACAAATCTCACATTTACATTCAAATAAAAACAAACACGCAGCAGGCACCTTTAAAACATTTATTGAAAAGAAATAAATCAAGAATAAATCTCTAATAAATAATTAAGTACAAAAAAATATTCTAAACGATGAACATTTTAGCCAAAATTTTAAAAAAGCATGTCTGGTGATCTGAACAGGGAAGTGTGGGAGCTGAAAATACACTTGAGAATTGTAAACTTGCAGATTGGATACAATTCAACAAGAAAAAAAAAGTTTTAACATTAAAATTTCCATTTGATTTGGATTTCAGCTCAACTATATTTTCTTTACAGACATTTCCCTGAGGAAACGACATGGACACGAGTCATTCACTAATCTGAATTCCATCGATTGAGAACATGATTTAAAGTGAACAGCTGGTTGTACCTCGAATAAAAATATATAAAGTTATCACTCAATTTGCTGCTTTCGCTAAACTTTGTTGCATTAGCAGGAAAACAAGGAACGCTGCATCAGCATTTAAACTTTAAACATTTTCCTTCCCAGATATGAAAGGTGAAGGCAGCAAACTTGGTAGCAGCTTTACGATAATTACTGAAAGACCTGCTGTAATTAAACAGCGACACACATCCTGTTTGCCAGTTACTTTTTCATTTTGACACAAGGTGCAAACTGAATGGTCAAACTTAAAATGTGCCAGAATTCCCTTCTTGTGTCAGAATAATAAAGCTTTGATAAAAGGAGGCAAAAGTCTACGACACTAACTAGAGTTCAACTTTCTAAACCTGCGTGAGCATCTTCTGCCACCTTTGAGTGTTCAAAATGTAGTTTCATCCACATTTAACAGGATTTGGCTACACCATTTACCTCTTCAGATCTTTGCAACAACTGGATGCAAACTGAAGCGAATGCCCAGGATTCATGCCCAGTTAAAACCTCAACGCCACAATAAAAGTGAAAGCACATAAATCCAACACACACAAATCAAAAAGACAACTGATTGCAACATAGTACCAACAGAAAGTAGAACACACACCGGCCCTTTCATAAATCAAGATACAAACATTTTAGATACTTAAATCTGTACTCCTTAGAAGACAATAGAAATGTACATCTCATATATACAGATCAGCTAACCTGAAATATTATTACACCTAGTTTTCATTTCGGTTCTCGTTTTCTTGACACAGAGCTAAAAATCTAACTTTACTTGTTTACAGTCAGGTCCAATGCGATGAAAAACCGTGATTACAGTATTGTGTTTCATTTTCTGCTAAGCACTCGCTCTTAAAACACAACAGAAAAACACGACATTTTTGAACTATTTTGGGGCAACTCAGACAGTATAAATTTAATCGAAAACACACTGCTTGTCATCAGTATGCACCAGCTTTTATCACATCTATGCAACATTTCAAAATGGATAGGTTGTCAAAATAAAACCGTGTCCATGAAAATCAGTCAAATTTAAGATTAACAGCTCATCTTAAATGATACAAAGCACAGAACATAAACTATAGCCCTTAACTATGAGAAGATATGCAAAATAGATTAATTCAGCTATACAATTAGCATCAATCTGTCAAATATCCTGGAAAGAGCTGAACGCAGGTGAGACGCCCAAATCGTTGCTTTAATTTACTTTTTTATTTCAAACCAATCTTCCACAGGAAGAAATTTAGCTTTTTTAAAAAAAAAAATGTTTAAGCAGGAACTGATTCACAGAGATGATCTGAAAAGAGTTTGAGGATTTATGAAGGTTTCATTCGTAAAGTCGCATGCATGTGGGTAACGGTTTATGATCATCAGCAAGATACATGCCGTCTGGGGGAATCATTTTCTACAATACACAGGCTGACATTTTTTCTTTTATTTTCTACACTAAAGCCACATTAGATGCAAAACGCCTAGCTTCAATCATCAGGCTTTCATAAGCAGCTGAATTCATGCAAGTCTTTGATGCTGACAGGAGTGCACACACTAGTGTTTTGTAGCGACGCGGACAGCTGCAAGGCTCAACGAGAGGACGGCATTTCTGGGAGCTGAAAAGTGGGTTGTTTGATAAATAAACCAGAAGAAAAACCAGATCCTGATCAGAACATCAGAAACTTGCATTTATCAGAACAGTATGACGAGACAATATTAACACGTGTTATGACACAAGCTTGAATGTAGAGCCATTCACTTGTTTCAGAGACATACTTTTATTAAAACCCTCAATTGCCCTCCAATACTTTGGCATGACTGCATGTCAATAGGTCAAATATTTTATATACTCCTGAACAACAAGGCCTATTTAGTTCAGTACTCCAATTCAAGTCTTAACCCCAAGTTAATAGCCGTGTCCACCTCACAATTTAGTCCATATTTGTGATAAAGGACACAATAGTTAGCAGAAAATAGAAAAAAACGCTATTTCATTCGTGTTAAATCCTTTGTACATTAGAAAAAAAAAAGTGAATCATCTTGTGATAAAATTGTGCTTTTTAAAATAGAGCACTTCCTCCAATTTGCCTTTCTGGTTTGAATGAATCATGTGTAACACACATATTAGAGCTAGAGGAGTATGACACAAAAGTTGCAGCTGAAACAAATCAAGTGCCCCTAGGGGTCGGCTGACAAATAGGTTTTAATTACAACCTCCTCAAACTCTGGTTCAGCATGTTGGTTGTTGTTTCCCTACTCTCATACTTGTTTCAATGGTTGAGTCATCTGTTCAACCTGTTAATCACCTGCTGGTTAAAATTTGGTGTTGGAGCAGGGAAACAACTAAGACATGATGGATAGTGGCCCACGAGGACCGGAGCTCAAGACTCCTGAAAATTAATGGAACTTATTAAAACAATAGAAAATAAAAACACACTTTGTCTCTTTATCTGATGTAAATTATCTTAGGATAGAAATCTAGACAGACAAAATGATTTTGCTTCTGCAAGTCTGTCTAGTTACGCTCCATTGGATCCTCCGCAGCCCCGGGAAGTCTAGTGCTGGTCCAATCATGGCGCTCTGTTTGGTGGGCGGGTTGTCGGTGCGAGTTAGTTGGCAGCGGTTCATTTAAAATGGCTTTAGCATCAACTTTGGACTATTTAGACTTGGGCTTTTCTTTGAGTCAAGAGCAGATAGAGGTACTTAAATTTATTTTTTAAAAGGATGTATCTGCGTGAGGGATTTTCATGTCTGTACCTTGCTACCGTTTATCCAAATTACCCCCCACCTCACCAAAAACAGCTTAGATATTAGTTATTTGATGCTTAACCTCTAATCCCACGTGCAGTGTGCTGACTCTGACAACAAAAATACAACTTGGCAGCGCCCGTTAACGGGGTTTCATGGCTTCTCTTCTGAACAATGTTAGCAGAAAGACAACAAAAACAGTTGTTTTGTGTAAATATTCAAGTATGAATACACATCTTTTGAGTGGTAAATGTTTAAATGAACATTGAATTCAATCACCAACTGGCCGTATGCTGGTTTCAGAGGAGTAACCTACCTCCCATCCATCTTTAACCTGGACTCACCAGGTGCCTAAACTAAAGTCTGTGTTACGACTACTACACAGTAGCAGCCAGGGCCTGCTGTGCTTCAGCCAGGCTTTGTGTGAACGCAGCTCAGAAAGAGTGGATCATGTTGGATGTGCCCTACTTTCCTCTGTTCTCATAAACCCTTCCAGATCATTCCATCACATATCAATCTTTGCACAGATTTCAGTCTGACCAGGTCTAACAGCAAACCCTCCATCTTGGCTAGTATTTGAAGTTGCATTTCAGTGCTTTGTTTCTTTTTCCTTAAGCAACTTTGTCTAAATCTTAAGTGAAGTACTGACATGGTTAATAAAATTATTAATAACTAGATTGGATACATTTCTGGCTGAGCGTAGCTCTGAAGTGTTTATGAACTTGGCTTTTCCTTACTCGCATTTCTAGACAGACATGAAGGGTTTGTGTTTAATGCTCTGCTTTGATGAACAGACGTAGCATTAAAGAACATTTATCTTCACGGTTAAGGTCTTTTTAAATGAAATAGAGTAAACAAATGAAACCTGAGAGCATCAGAACAGAGGTGTGCCAAAGACACCCACAACAATGTGGATCTGAAGTTTATTTGGTATTTGTGTAACCCAGTTTTTGCAAAACTAGCAAAAAACTGGATGTATGAATTGTGAAGGCAGAAAATTATCCTGATAAGCTCGAGCATATCAAACACGCCTGTTTCTTCTATTCTATGGAGGATGGAGATGTGGGGATGGGGAGTGCTAGGAACCAATCATGATTTGATAGGAAGAGCAGTTGTCTGGGCGGGGCTTGGCTTCAGTGGTGGTGGTTGGCTTCGGGGGCCAGTCGGGGTCCACGCTGAGCTCCTGAGCAAGATGCATGTACCGAGCTTTGGGCGCCTTCTTATATGGGCAGCACAGCCAGGACAAACACTTGTGTGCACGTAGGTCAATTACCCCCTGAAAAATGAATGACGTAAACACAGATATGAAATTAAAAACATACAAAGGAAAAATGAAAGAGTTGGAACAAAACTTTGTTCATGTTTCTTCAACCTAAAGATAAATCAGGCATGCTACTATATCTGCTGCATGCAAAACTCAATGTCATATTTCATACATGCAAGTCATTCAATACAGAAACCAGCACTTGATGGAGGTGGCTGTCAACAGTTTAAAGGTTGAGCCTTCTCCTTAAAAAAAAAGCTCATGGGGTCAAACATTAAATCAAAGATTATACAGCAGCTGCTTAACGATAAAAAATATCTATAAAGTAAGTCTGAACAACAAAAAATATGGGTTCAGAATTATTTAACATCACAATATCCTGGAGGAGAGAGACAGAGTGGAGACAGCGTCAGCTGGGACCCAACAGGGGAACTTGAGAGCAGCAAATAAGCCTCAATAGCTGCAGACAGCCGACAGGAAGAGGAGCAGCAAGGAGATAAAGGTCTAGGAAACAACTGAGAAATTAGCGAGGAGTAAAACAACGTTTTTATATAAAAATGTCTAGATGAGGAGTTAAATGAAAAAAGTGAATAATTTTAAATGTTTTTAACTGAAAAAAAAAGTGTTTTTTTTTTGTTAATGTTCTGCCATCAATGACGTATGCAGATAAAATGCTCTGCAGTTGACCGAGCCTTAAAGGTCTCATTCACTCATTCGTTCAATTAATCTGCAGCAGTCTCCAGTATGAAATGAATGAACCAAAAGCTCCTGCGGTCTTGTTTCAGGTGGAAGGAAGTTGTCGTAAAATGATGGGATTTTTATTCTTACTCATTAATATTAATGATATGAAAACACCTCATCTTTAACCGACTGACAGCAACACGACTCTTCTGCTGCCTTCATTCAATCTTCTTTCTTTGGTAAAATAAATAAATAAATAAACAAAATGCAATGTTGATGTTTTAGCTCCACAAATAACACAAGCCTGAACGTGTTGCCCAATGGTAAAGAGTTGCTAATGCTAATGGTTAGCTTCTACTAGCTCCGCTCTTTTCTAGCCACAAAATCACTTGTGTGGTGACGAGCCAAGGTGGGCGGGGCCATGAGGGGTAATTTTCCCTGTGACGTAGAAGAGACTGGCTTTTCTGATTGAATCATTATAAATGTTCCTTGACTAACACATGCCATGTGGGTTGACGAATTTTTTCACGCTCACTGCTCTTGTGCTACGAAGAGTGACCGATCTTATTTTGAAAACAAGTCATGTGGTTTCTCAGTGAACAAGACCCTTAAGAAAATTATTCCAAACTTTGATTCAAGTTTCATCTGTGAAAGTAACCACAAAACGGAGCCTTATAATAATCAGATTGGTTATTAATTACAGTTTTCTACCAAAAGGACAAAATCCGTATCATTCAATATTAGCCGGCTCGCTTCTTGTATACGGATAGAACTGCAGATCATAACCAATTGTGATGACTTCTTTTGAAAGCTTCAGGTTTTACTGGATGCTCTCATTTAAAATAACTGTTACAAATCTGTTTTAAAGGTTTCAAAAACATCCTTAGCTTTGTTGTTTTTATTTAAGTATTTCTTATTATAGCCTAAACAATCCAGTAAGATGCAAGGGTTTGAGCAGCCTTGATAATCTTCATGATTTTTCTGTATAAATTGGTGATTGTTTTAACAAAATTAAGCAGGTGCATAAATTTGGGCGCCACAAAAAAATAAATTTACTCACTTTTTATTAGATCCTCCTTTTGCAGAAATAACAGCCTCTAAATGCTTCCTATAGCTTCCAATGAGAGTCTGGATTCTAGCTGAAGGTATTTTGTAGGGCTGCAACAAACGATTATTTGGATAATCGATTAATCGGATGGGGTCTCGACACGATTAATCGATTAATCGGATTACATGGGGAAATTTTTAAAAACTGCTAGGGAAACGTTATTTCTCTCCTTCCTTCACTTTATTTAACACAACATTATTAGAAAACAGTTCAATAGCAGAAAAACAACATGCCATCACCTAAATTGTCTTATAAGGTGTATAGACAGAGACCCTAAGCTACATCTATCTGTGACCTAAAATGCTTGGTCCAAGTTACATACAGAATATTTTACTGTAATATGCAGTAAATATACTCAATACTTGAATGCCTGACAACACGTAACCCGCCCAGAGTAACCTTTGACCCACCTCGTGTGGACTGACCAATGAGGAGAGGGTCTTAACTTGAGGCCCTCTCTTCATTGGTCAGTCTGCATGAGACTGACTCTCAACTGACGTTCAGTCGTAGGCAGCGAAGCGTCTCTGTGCAGTGCAAAAGCCCGGGTGGACAGTTTGTTTAATGTAGGGTGACCATATTTCCATTTCCAAACAAGAGGACAGGGGATCTGTGCCTATGACGTCACACTATGGCAACGCCACACAAACCATGTTGGGACCCATTTTTTGTAAGAACTAAATTAATATCAGATTCTGCCAATTAAAGGGCTCTAAAACAATTCATATGTAAATATTTTGCATATTTAATGCAAAATCTAATTTTTCTGCTTTAGTGCTGCAACAAGGTTTTATTAATAATAAATTATTATACCTTTTGTTTTACTACAGCATCGGTAAGCTTCCTGTGCACAGATGATTAAGGATGCTTGTTTCAGCTGTGAGATTAGACGATAGGATCAATGAAAAAATAAATTGTCACAAACTCCATGGAAACTTTCAGAGAATCCACAAATAGTGGCTTTCAAATGGTTTTGTTACTTTTTGCAAGTTTATAAAATAAGCAGATGAGACAGCATGTCTGATAATTTAGTTTTTCATCTGATAATATTAGAACATGTCAGTAATGTCTGAGGGGCTTTTATAAACACTGTATAACTAACACTACTGGAGAGGGCATGAATTACACAGAGGCTTCTGGGGAGCCCAGTTATTGGGGGGGGGGGGGGGGGGGGGGCATTTTGCCTTGGCCCCCAAAATGTCTTGAAACGGCCCTGGGTGTGTGACTGAGTTTTGAAGGTGATCTGAATTGTATCAGATGTATAAATATGACATGTGTATAACTTATTGTTTTTTACTGGTAAAAACGTGTAGTGGAGATAAATCTACCTACATTTTACTTTTCAACACTTTGTTTGGTTTTCTTGTTTTTATTGAACTATTTTCCTGTCCTGTCTGTCTCTCATCTTCCTGCATCTCCTCTTAATTCTCCAGAAAATCTGTTGCCTGGATTCTTACCTTTTCACCTCATCAGTTACTTTTGAGCAGGTCAAAGGGATCTCCTGACCGAAAAGCGCAGAGCGCGTTTTCGATGCTGCGTGAGGTGACATCACCACAGCACAGGTGATGAACTCCGCAGTAGCGAGCTTCAGGCACAAATAAGACAGAAAATAGAGAACATGTGCGGACATGAACGATCGTGTGCTAATTATAGTTTTTTGGTTGCGCCACTTTGAGAATGGACCGTGCGCTGGAAGCAGCTGCCTGGATCGCTGTGCAACAATGCGGAACCGGTTCGCAGCAGCTCAAGTCTGCCGGCTCTCCCTCGCGCTGATCTGCGGCTCTCCCTCGCGCTGATCTGCAGGCTCTCCCTCGCGCTGATCTGCGGCTCTCCCTCGCGCTGATCTGACTTGCTCTGGTCTGCGCGCAACGGCGGGCGGGAAGGGGGGGGCGCTTTTGGAAGAGTTGTGCGACACAACGAATCGATGACGCAATTCGTTGCCAACGCTTTTAGTAATCGATTTTCATCGAATTCATCGATTCGTTGTTGCAGCCCTAGTATTTTGGTCCATTCTTCTTTACAAAACATCTCTAGTTCATTCAGGTCTGATGGCTTCTGAGCATAGACAGCTCTCTTTAGCTCACTCCACAGAATTGCAGTAATATTCTGGTCTGTGGACTGAGATGGACGTTCCAGAACGTTCTACTTGTTCCTCTGCATGAATGCCTCAGTAGATGTTGAGCAGAGTTTACGGACGTTGTCTTGTTGAAAGATCCAGCCCCGGTGCAGCTTCAGCTTTGTCACTGATTCCTGGACATTGGTCTCCAGAATCTGCTGATATTGAGTGGAATGCATGCGTCCCTCAACTTTAACACGATTCCCAGTCCCTGCACTGGCCACACACCCCACACTATGATGGAACCACCACCATGTTTTACTGTAGGTAGCAGGTGTTTTTCCTGGAATGATGTGTTCTGTTTACTCCATGCATAACGCCCCTTGTTATGCCCAAATAATTCAGTTTTAGTTTCATCAGTCCACAGCACCTTATTCCAGAATGAAGCTGGCCTGTCCAAATGTGCTTTAGCAAACCTCAAGTGGCCCAGTGTGTGTGCCGTGGGCAGAGAAAAGTCTTCCTCTACATCACTCTCACATACAGCATCTCCTTGTGTAAAGTGCACTGACTAGTTGAACGACGCAGTGACTCCATCTGCAGAAAGATGATGTTGTAGGTCTTTAGCGCTGGTCTGTGGGTTGACTCTATTCTCACCCTTCTATGATTCTGTTTATCTGAGATTTTTCTTGGTCCGCCACTTCCAGCCTGAACTTGAACTATGCCTGAGATCTTCCATTTCCTCAATACGTTCCTAACTGTTGAGACAGACAGCTGAAATCTCTGAGGCAGCTTTCTGTATCCCTCCTCTAAACGATGATGGTGAACAATCTGTGTTTTCAGGTCGTTTGAGAGTTGTTTTGAGACCCCCCATGTTGCTATTCCTTAGAGAATGTTCAAAGAATAAGGAAACTTATTGTCAACTTATTTGTGTGATACAGAATCCCCACTTGAATGGGATCATCTAGCTGGAGAAATATGTGCAGGATTCCACTCAGGACTCCACATACTTCTCCATCTAGATGATCCTTTTCAAGTGGGGATTGAGTATCGTGCAAATAACTTAATATAATATATAATTGCCCAACTAGATGCCCTTTCTTATAGGATATATTTAACTGAAAAATGATTTAAACAAGAAAATCATGAAGATGAACAAGGCCGGCCAAACTTTCACATCCCACTGTATTCTGGTGTCTTTCAAACATTTGGCTCAAATTAATTTAAAGATCACTAAACTTATTTTTTCTCATTTTGCACTTCATCTAGACTTTTGGGGGGCAAATAAGCTGTACTAAAATATAACTCACAGCTGATAACTGCTTTTCTCTGCAATGTGCCTATCAGCCTTAAAAAAAGCACGATACAAACCCCTGCTTTGTGTGAATCATCTTAGACACTTCCAGAGTTCAACTTGAAAATAAAAGGTTCAAATTTCATCTCCAATCATAATCCATTAAACCTAATAATTTCTCCTGCTGTTTCTAATCATCTAGTGAGGTGTCAGTAACAGAATTTGAGGAATAGCTGCATCATCTGGGTAAATCCCCTGAACAGAGTGTCCACCAGGAGGACGAAAGACAGAGTAAAGGTCAGAAAGAGGCTGATGTCTCTAACATGCATGTTGTATTAGTAAAGCTGTGCTCTGACATTAGAAAGAGAAGTGAAGACAGAAAGAAGGAAGGAAGGAACCACCACACACGAGGAGCGAGAAAGGGCTACAGCAGAAGGTGTCAGATTTTCCCAACCTGTGATGTCGGGGCAGCAGGGGTGATGCCAAAGTTGCTCTGTTTGTCTCTGCTGAACACAAGCTTCCATAAGACGACATCAAGGACGAAGGTCTAGGGGGATAGCGCAGTGGGCAGGGGAGAATTACAAAAAGGCTAATTTGATTTCACCTTTCCTCCATTTGGCACAGAGGTTTAACTGATTTGTAAAACAAAGCTATGGTACAACGGGTGGCTCTCATTACAAATAATTATATCAGTGAAAAGAAGTTTGGATTTGTTAGCTTCAGAAAGAGTTGTGCTGAGTTAGAAATTTTTATTTTAAAATGTTAAGTGGAATTTGCACCGGTGACTCAGGAAGAACAGCATCTAAATCAGATGCTAAGTAGTGCATGTATGTGAAGGAAGCCATTTAAAAAGGAAGGCAAGAGACGGTGATGTCACTGGCTGAAGCGTGGCAAGTTAGCATAAACTTAACACCTACACAGAAAAATCTATTTTACTGTTAAAACGCATCTGTCTATAGTTTACTGCTTTAGGAATTCTCAAAAGTGCCTAAATCCACCATGAAAAACTATTTTCACTTTACAAAATAGTTTCTGCTCAAACGAGGACTGATCTAACTGTAAATAAGACAAAGATGAGCACATTGCATGAAAGAAATCAAAAACTGAACATGACAAAAACATTTACCAGGCCTGCATGTCACCGAGTGTGTCTTACCTCCACCACAACAGACACAGCAGCATTGACTACAATGACCAGGGAAAGCTTTACCCTCCACTCAAATGGAACACAAACTATCTGTATGAACAGAGAAATGCTCATCAACACGTGGACAAGAACACTCCATAAAGGCACCATTATTTTAAAACGTACCCTGGCTTTCCACTGAACGTGAAAGCGTTTTGCCCACAAGCTGCCTTCCAACCGGGAGCAATTCTGACGCAATGTGGGAGCGAAAACCTTCCACACGGCTGATCCGGCGAGAATTGGAACAACAAGCAAGGACAAAGACAGCTGCATGTGTCCAATAACGGCCCGTGGCTCTTTTTCTATTCTGTTTACCTCGGCTATGGGGGGCTTTAACAGTAAATGATGTACATTTATCTGCATAGGACTTTTATTTTGAAACTTTTATACTTCTTTTGTGTTTGACTTCCTGTCTGGTCTAAACAGCAGAGTTTAATGTGTTTTGGAAGCATAGCGTGTAAACAATAGTCTCTAAGCATATTAGTGCTTCTGGGATGCATCCAACTTTGCTGTTGATGGAAAGAAAACAGTTCACTACGATGGCAGAAAGTAAGTTTTGCAACGCTTTCACGTCCGGTGGAAAGAAAAGGGAAGTTTTCACCCTAAATACCAACAAGTTCTAAAAATAGTAGCCAATTTAAAATGGCAAAAATTGCTTTTACCCACCTCTAGAAACTCATCGATGCCTTTAACGGGATGAAACATGATGAACAGCAGAAAAAAGTACAAACTCACAACAGAAAGTACAAAAGGCCCTGAGAAGAAGAGAAAACCACAAACATTAAAGATAAAGGAGAAAGTACTGGAGCATATATTCATTAGTATTTAGATGAGGCGTACAGTTTTTGTAGCTAGGCTGCCGAAAAGGTTTGCCTTTGGAGAAAACGATGGCAACAATGAGATACTGGAAGGAGGAGACGTAGAAGAGGCTCGTGTTCTCAAAGTTTTGGATGTTGTGCTCGTCTATCTCTGTGTCGTTGTGGTCAGACAAATTTTGGTTTGAAGAGAGGTTGCAAACACTGGATGTGGACAGAAAGTCGGGATTAATCCTGGAGCACTTTAGGGCAAAACTGGACTTTTCGAGATTGAACCCGTTATAAAATATTCAGAGACCAATGACCTGATATTTGTCACATGCAACACTCACTCTGTAAGAGGAGTCCAAGTGGTGTACCAGGGCTGCTGTCGGACCCAAAGGAATGTAATAGTCTGGAAGCTCAAGCAGATGAGGATCTGGGTCAACACGGAGAACAGCAGAGGCCCTGAGATCAGTCCTGATGGGGGGCGGCGGGAGACCAGCTCTTTCCATGCAGGGTTCAGACTCACTGAGGAGCAGGAAGAGATAAAAACACCAAATAAAACATGGAGAAAAAGAAAATTATCCTTTGTTTTACAACTGGTTAGTTCCTCTGTACTTACTGGTAAATACAATGAGGAGAATGATAGCAATGTCAATAAAGAGGAACTGGAAATCTCCAAGGTTACTTAGAATCTGAGACAAAAAGAACAGAAATCATTTGTAAACAAACTGATTTTATAGCTGCAGTAGTTTATCGAGGGGACTTCATCTACCGAATAGAGGAGGGTGACGCTGATGTACTGGATGATGCTGTACAGGGCCATAAACTTGAAGACACAGAAGGAGGTGATGAGAGCGGCACGCCCCTCCCTATGAGAGGAAACAAAAACAACGTAACTTTAACGACCGCTACTAGAAAAGACTGATTCCTTATTCATTATTGCACATAGCTGCAAATAAAAGAGTGACACCTATTTTTACTAACCGTTTAGCCGAAACTGTTGGAAAAAAGCAGTAAAAACGAGCTTTACTACTCAGTGTATAGAAAAGAACCGAAAACAACGGAATTAGAAAATCTACACAGAAGGAACGTAACGATGATGTTAGCTCAGAGTTAGCTTGCTTGCTCACAGCTACAATTTGGTCCCAATTCCCTGCCTGCTTTACGTTCTTTTGACAGTGTTGTCATTGTCCATGAAACGATATATATTAATGTGGCAAGGTGGAGAAACGAGGGCCCGGGCGGGATTCGATCTCCAGACTCCCGGGTGAGAGTCATACGCTCTAACCAGTCAGCCAAAGGGACATCCTCTTGGCCAAGTAGCCAGGGCGCACAATCAATCGGGACACTGTGACAGGACGCTCACACCGCCACGTCTTCCCACCCTTTTTCCACAAGCACGTCCTCGTGCTCCCACACAGGGTGCCACAAACTTCACATCCATGGACCTACTTGACAGTACTACATGGATCCTGCCAACAACGCCAAATGTGGCAAGGTGGAGAAACGAGGGCCCGGGCGGGATTTGATCCCGCCCGGGCCCTCGTTTCTCCACCTTGCCACATTAACATAGTGAAACTTGTTAAACTTGAAACCAAGCCTTTGTGATTAAGTTTGAAAAATCCATCTCAGGATTAATTTAAAATTTCAATGAGATTTTATCCAATCTTTTCCACCCAATTCCAGATCCTTTGAATATCACGTGGTCTGATCGAAGCCTCCCTATGTGAAACATTAGGAGTGTACATTTACAAGAGAAGACATAATGGTAAATGGCCTGTACATGGCACCTTCTTAGGGTTCTACAACCGCCAAAGGCGTTTCACAACACAATCAGTCATTCACCCATTCACACACACACGCACATTCACAAACTGCCACCACCAACAGGCAAGGTGGGTTAAGTGCCTTGCTCAAGGACACAACAGTAACATTCTCTGATCGAACCTGCAATCTTCCGATTACTGGACAACTCGCTCTACCTCCTGAGCTACTGCTGTCTCTAATGACATGTTGTTTAACCCCAAGAAAAGCCCTCCAAAACTCAAAAAGATCTTCCCATCTGCTTTGTTTCTTAAAGCCGGGCGGACACTGTGCGACTTTTTCCACTCTTAGCACTCAGCTTCAGCTCAAACTGTACGACTTCCTCACAGGACAGATCTCACGAGTCATGCGCTCACACTGTACGTCTGGTAGCAACACGTCGGACCTAAAAAATATGCTAAAAATAGCAGTTTTTACACAACACGTCAGACTTTTTGGTCTTGATTTATGGGGGTTGGATGAGGAAAACGAAATAAAGAAAGTAAATCTGTGTTTTGTGATCACTTTAATTTGACATGAACACGACAAACACGCTTTCTTGAAAATCCTCGTCACTGTGTAAAAAAAAAATTTAGAAATAAAAACGAACGTGTTATTAGGGAAATAGCAGGCGAGCGGTGTTGATGCATGATTGCGCATGCGCCGAGAGCGGTTCTGGTACTTTTTGGGTCGCAGCCGCTCGCTGCACCGCTTCAACACTCACGAGAACGAGCAAAATATCAAACACTCCAGAAGTCCGTGCGAGCTCACGATTGCTGATCGGTAGCTGGTCACGTGGTGTTAATCGCCTCTCGTAACCCCCTGTACACTACACGACGCTCAGCGCAAAACTCGCCCCGATCTGGTGGATTCTCGCACGAGTGGAAAATCGGCTCAAAAAAGTGAAAAACTCGCACAGTGTACGCCCGGCTTAACAAAGACACACACAGAAAGAACAGGGGAACATGGATTAGCCTGTGAAGGAGAGACCTGATGAGGCTTGGGACACAGGAGATGTTGGGGGTCCTTGAGGTGAAAGGGGAAGCAACGGAGGCTTCAAGCTCCGACAAGGAGATCCCACCATGTGCTCTCTTTAGTGCCTGAAAAAAGGAGGACATAAGCTTATATAAACTGCACTTAACCATGTCCACCACATGGTGGTGCCGTTTTACTAGATCCTAAACAACCATCTATACACACCCCACAGTCGTTTGCTCCATCTCCACACATCCCCACAAAGTAACTGGAAAAAAAAAGATGAGAAAAAAATGCCATGTAACAACTTCTAATTTAGGACCTTGTATAATGTTAAACATCATCTTCTTGGTTATCCAATTTCAGTGGACTCTTTAGCTGATGGTTACGTAGTTCACAGCTTTCGTAGGACATAACAGAACCTTTGGACCAGTTATCAAATACATATTTTCAGAAGTATGTCCTGCATTTGACTTGAACACTCACTCTACTCCCTGCAGTGTTTCAATCAGCTGGGTTTTCTGATCAGGCGCCATTCTGGCAAACACTGTCCCGTGCAGCACAAGCTACAGAGAATGACACAATTACAACATTCCTAAGAACAGTGGTTGCAATTAGAGCATGTCAGCACCGATTACAGCAAAAAAATGTCCGTTCTCATTTGAAGATTCTTTGTACCTTTTGAAGCATATCAGGAAAATGTTCAGCAATTACTGCAAACGATTTTCCATTCATAGCAAAGTGGTACATTTCTTGTGTTTTTGGCTCCTCTACGTGACTCACATCCTCGAAATTGATGTTAATTTCCTGTTAAAATCAAACAAGTACGATTTAGACAATAATTATTAAAAAGTAAAGGTGCAACTTTCACCATTCCATCAGATCTGAACAACTGGAAATGAACAATGACTGTCATCTTGTATCATCAGGTAAATCCATCCATCCATTTTCATCCGCTTATCCAGAGTCGGGTCGCGGGGGCAGTGGCCTAAGGCGAGAGGCCCAGACTTCCCTCTCCCCAGCCACTTGGGCCAGCTCCTCCGGGGGAATCCCAAGGCGTTCCCTGGCCAGGTGAGAGACATAGTCTCTCCACTGTGTCCTGGGTCTACCTTTAGGCCTCCTCCCGGTTGGACGTGCCCGGAAAACCTCACCAGGGAGGCATCCAGGAGACATCCTGACAAGATGCCCGAGCCACCTCAACTGGCTCCTCTCAATCTGGAGGAGCAGCGGGTCTACTCCGAGCCCCTCCCGAATGACCGAGCTTCTCACCCTATCTCTAAGGGAGAGCCCAGCCACTCTTCGGAGAAAACTCATTTCGGCCGCTTGTATCAGTGATCTCGTTCTTTCGGTCACTACCCAAAGCTCACGACCATAGGTGAGGGTAGGAACGTAGATTGACCGGTAAATCGAGAGCTTCGCCTTCTGACTCAGCTCTCTCTTCACCACGTCAGGTAAATCCTTTTTTATTAATTAGCCCAGTTTGCTTCACCTCCAGTCGTGGTTTTTGGGGTTTGTCTGCATATCTCCATGTGATTTTGGCAGCTTGTCCATCATGAGGATGAAGGGCATCAGCTATGATGATCTTGTCTTCAGGGGGGATCATTCCACAGTCACGGGCCACAGAGATGGCTGTTAGCATGTTGTCACCTGGAAAGAGGACGATCGAGTTATTCACAAAATTTCACACCTTCTAAATATGATTTGGCAGCACAAAGCAGAGACAAGACACAGCTCTACTGATAAAGATTATATTACACAGCAGCAGTGGTGAACAATCCCAATAAACAGTTCTGATGGGAAAGTAGAAGGCAGAAAAAAATAACATGGCTAACAACCATCTAGTATGTTTAAATTTTAAAAACGTTTTTGTTTGTTGGGAAATCTCAAGTAAATGACAAGAACATCTAGTGCACATTGGAGCGACCCTGCTCCAGCTCCACAGTGCAGCCAAGAAAATGTATTAGCTAAGATTATAGGTGCAGCTGAGAAAAATAAATTACAGGGATAAATCTAACTCTGCACCAAAACAAATGTTTTTCCTTTCAGTGTTTGTAATATTTCTCAAATCTAATTTGTCCTCACCAGTAACCATGACAGTGCGAATGTTGGCTTTATGAAGGTCCTGCAGGACTCCTGGAGTTTCAGCCTTCAGTTTGTTCTGCATGATGATCAGACCCAGGAACTCCATGTTTGACTCTATGTGATCCCTAATTAACAACAACAATAATAATAATTTAATATACAAGTGAAAACACAACAAAAATGTGTTCTTCTAAATGGGGAACAGAAGAAAACAACTCGACTAAATCTTTGCTCAACTAAAAGCACCTTAGTTGCAGCCAATAAAAACTAGCCTGGCCAGCCATGCCAAAGCTTCCTTATGGGAAGCAAAGGGCCTGGTAACACTCCCATTCAAATCACTTCACCCCCTGAGGATACTAACCATGCCAATCAGCGCTGAGCAGCGTACATCACACACTGCAACGCTCAGTGTCTCAAAAACAAAGATGATGGCGTCTGAAGCGGCGTTTGCTGCAGTTCTTTCCTCTGTTCTGAATGACTTGAACATATCTTTTAAACTGCAACAAGTAGAAGCGCTAAAAGCCTTTCTTCTAAAGAAACATGTTGGCGCTGTCGCCAGACGCCATCTTTGACTACAGCTAAAAAAAACGTCCGCATCTCCACGTCGCACGATACAGTCATCCGTTCAGTCTTTTGCCTGATTGGTTATTTTAGAGCTGGAGCTGGCTAGTCCCGCCCCTCATGGTGATCTCTGCCTCGGAGTATCCAGACTCGTCCTCTGAGTAGAATAGACAGAGGACGAGTCTGGCAGGCCAGGCTAAATAAAAACAGGTAAAACAGAAGTGTTTTCTTTTAACTTCAGAAATAAAAACATGTGAAGTTGAAAATGTTTAATTATTGAGAAAACACAAAACAACTGAACCCTCTTGACTTTATGTAATTACAGGGTAACTGCAGGTTTATGGGAGCCAAATTTAGGTCTTCTTAAGAACTTTTTAAGGCCACTTTGACCAAATTTAATCTATTTTTTAAATTAAATTTAAGCTATAATTTCCAGCTATTGCCTGGAACCGGTGCCAACCACGTTGCGAACGTGGGATTAGCCATCCAGATACCATTAAACTTGCACTTCCCCATGGCGCAAGCTCCCACTAGCTTAACCAGCTAATGTGCTCATCTAAAATTAGCGCCTTTTCACAACCAACTGAATGTGTACGGTTCCGCTTACGCCAACATCATACAAAAAAAATGCTGAACACCAACTAGAAAGTCACGAAAATTTCATAGAAATAAAATAATCTTGGTTATTGGGTCTTTGGTCATTTAAGACTTTTGGAAACTGTATTTAAGGATTATTTGTCATTTTTAAGGATTTTTAAGGCCTTAAATTTGGAAAAGCAAATTTAAGACTTTTTAAGGACCCGCCTGTAAAAAAAAAACAGACTAGACGCTGCCTGAACATTATGTAAAACCGTACCTGCCGATGTTCTGGACTTTGTGCCAGGTCAGCTTTGCTTCCAGACGACGATGAGCCAAAGCAATCACTCTGAAGCCCTCCCTAGTGTAGCTCTCCAAAACTTCTGCAAAGTTTTCTGGAACTAGAAGAATTTTTGTTTTCAACAAACAGAAAATTAGGAGGAAAATAACACACATCCATGTTTTTAATGCATGTCCAACCTTTCTCTCTTAAATCACATCTTCATGACATTAAATCCCTTTTTTCCTGCACAAGGACTGACGTACCTCTCGGATTATACAGAGGCCTTTGTCACCACATTGTTTCAGGACACCTCACCTGTCTCCTTCTTACAAAGACTAGCCACAGCTTCTGGTGCTCCCTTCATGTAGGCATCCATACGCTTCTCCCCCAGCACACGAGCTACAATGCTCATCCTCTGAAGCGCCGAGGAAAAAGGAAACTGCCGCACAATGCCGATTTCATACACCGACTACACAAAGACAGAAAATAAGAGGTAAAAAACAAAATTACTCTTACCTAGATAGAAATTATTAAAAGGCATTTACACAACGCCAACCCAAAAACAAAACTTTCAAGTTTTAAAAAGAGCTTACAAAAATAAGAGCAGAGCTGAAAATACTAACAGTAAAAACATTCATTAAATCACAATATTATATTAGCTACACTTTTTTTAATCCATATATTACATTCAGGAGGGAGAAAATTAATCCCTTGACTTAATAACTTGGAAAAAAAATGTGACTACTTACCGAAATCTCATAAAGTTCCTACAAAAAAAAAAAAAAAGCAAAATATCAAAACAGAGCAGCGATAAATACAGAGAAGGAAACAGATGTTGTGAAGTGTGTATAGCAGAGGTATTTGATGCGAGGCTGGTGTACATACCATGTCTTGTTCTGCTGACAGAACCGGTTCTGGGGGCAGCAGCTGCTTTGGTGGTCGAACTACAGTGGGCATGATCCGATTATGGAGAGACGTTTCCTCTTCAGTGGCTTCCTCCAGGATCTACAACATCATTAAAAATATATATCTAAACTTGTTTATTATTTTAAAATACTTAAGATCTTAAAAGTGCACCACAAAAAAGAATAAATAAATAAATATACAAAAGACGTATGCAGATGGTCACGTGGGGCTCATAGGTACTAGTACAAAAAACCTAAACTCATCGGCCATATTGACAAGCATGCTTGTCTTCTAAACTTAAAAAAAAGCACAAAATAAACTTCTTGGAAACCACAAACTGCAGACTGTCTGATGAACGTTTTCAGATTTTTTCTCGAGTTTCATAATAAATCCTAATAACTATATGATGATCTCTAATAATTTTCTGACATTTTTTAATAATTCCTGTTAATTTATTATATTTATATGAGCAGAGTGTTTGTCTGATCCTCACAGCTGAAAATATTTAGCATTTTGCAATAAAAACATGTAAAATATGTAAATGCCAGAGGTCACCACAATACCCACAGCTAAATAGATGACAAATCTGCAGCCGACGAGGACAGTGTTCTTCAGGGTTTGTCACACACTCTCACAACTGCTAGTTTGACAGTTGTAACTCAAAGGTTTCACCGAACATGACTCGCAGCTACGGAAATGTAAATGAAGTTTTTTATGTGCTTTAATTTCATTGCAACATAAAATCCTCCAATCGTGTTAAAGACGGTTTCTCGGCTGGCCAGGGAACACCTTGACCCGACTCACGATCAGCAGAAGAGAATAGATGGAAGGATGTGTTAAATGACTGTAGTGAGTCTATCCAGTCTGCTTAACACAAAAGGTGCAAATTCAGATAGTTAAAGATGCCTGACAGACTCAGTGTGTGTTACATTCACAGATTCTCCTACATGAGAACTCACCCAGCCGGTAGCCTCAAACATCTTGAGGTCTAATGGGTCTCCAGAAAGCTGGCCATCTATTTTGGTGAGGGAGTGGCAGGTGGCCATGCAAGCCACAAACGGGGACTTGACAAGATTTTCCTTGTAGGCATTTTCTTCTGACTGGTGGAAACTTCAGCGGCAGGTAAACAAGAACACAGACTTTAGATTATAAACATTACAGCCAAAACAATGTAAAAACAAATAATCCCATATTTAACACAAATTTACCTGCCATTCTCAACTCTCTGAACTCCCCACAGGTCTAATCCATCTTCTGTCAAAGTTCCAGTCTTTGAAAAGAAAAATAAAATAAGATGAAGACTCATCAAAATACTCAAGTCCAACAACAGCTCACGTACTGTTATTCCAGACCTTATCAAAGCAGACCAGATTGATCTGCCCGCAAAGATTGATCCTCTGAGGGCTGATGCAGAAGATGCCTATGTGTTTGAGACGCCGCTGAGCGTACACGATTCCAGCCGTCATGGCCGCAGGCAGCGCTGGTGGCACTGTGATGGTTATGATGTCCAGAGATTCAATAATGATGGTTTTTGCTGGCACCTGGAAGAGAGAAAGGGCAAAGTTATTTCAGTGCATCACTTCCATCTCTGAATTTAGAGGCAATACCTTCAACTTCGAATAAATTATTGAATAAAGTAATAGTTTATTGAACAAGTGAAACATTTCTGATAAAGTAATGCAAACTATAAGAATAAAGAAAATAAAAGAAATAGTAAATATATAAGAACGGGAACAACAATGATGTTATGTTTCACTCCCTTTCTCATTTAATAGGCACTAGATTATTCTGCTTTTATCTCTAGACAGTATAACTTTACACACACACACACACACACACACACACACACACACACACACACACACACACACACACACACACACACACACACACACACACACACACACACACACACACACACACACACACACACACACACACACACACACACACACACTTTAATTTTAATTTCATTCACAGGATTTTTTTATTGCTTTTCCTGTGCTGGCTGATGGGGTTTTCCATGTATGAAAAAGAGGTGAAATTATGAGTGATTAGATAATCTGGTTATTTCTAACAAGTTTAAAACAAAAGTCTCCAAAAGTTATTATTTAAAACATAACAGAATCTAGAACTTTATCGCAGTTTTGCAGGAAAAAATTTGCAAGAAGTTGGGACAAAGGAAAAAAAGGAAATCACACGAATGCGACATCCTCAGGAGTTGAAAACTGCATTAAATCTTTGCTTTCGTCAGACTCGGGGTCTACCGTGATTGCAAACTTCTAACATGCTACGAGAAAGAAAAATTAAGGGCTCTACTTCTGTAAAACAATTTGCATTAAAGTTAGCTTTGGGGAAAATATCTTGTTCAATTTAAAATCTCAGCATTGAGCGGGACAAAGGGCCATGTCTTGTTTACAGTTTGGGGTTTAAAGCTAGAAAAATGACTTTATAATTTAATTACTACAAGCATCAACAACACTCCTTATTCCAACTGCATATTTGCATTTGATAAAAAACTTTTTAAATAAAAAATAACTATCAAGAAGGGTTTATTTACATAATAATTTACTACAGACACTTAAAAACAAAGAAAAACAACCTCTAACATTGTTCAGTCTGCTCATCATCACTTAGGTTACCTTGTTCAAGATGCTGAGGACGATGGAGTAGATGAAGCCGATTCCAGCCACAGCCACCAGACACAGCAGAAAGAGGTAGGCATCACGATACAGCTTGAAGTCGGTGGGTTTGGGGTAAAGGATAGAGCGCACCAACTGGCCTTTGGCTGTGCTGAAACCTAGAGAAGAGAGGATAAATTTATTTATTTTGAAGGATTTTTCACATATTCAGTTCTTTACTGGTGCCGCTAACAGGACTTGTACATAAGTAAGTCTATATTGTGCATCTTGTGTTACAGAAAGAAAAGAAATAAAGGACGACAATATATTTTCATGTATTTTCTAACGAGACATTTTCAGCCCCTTTCAGACTGGCCTGTGCAGATCACCACCGCCTTGACCAGCTCTCCTGTGTAGAAGCGGGTTTGGATGACGTTGGTGCCGCAGAAGAGCGTGTGTCTCTTATGCTCCTCGGTGTTGTAGGCATCATCGACCTCCCCTTGCTGTCCTGACGCCGGGTTAGGGAGGTTCGTCTTTGTCACAGGAACGCTCTCACCTGAGTGGATTTGAGCCATTATTAGGAAACTAGAAGAGAAAGGGGGGTTGTTGTTGTTGTTGCTAAAATCCTAAACATGCCAACAGATTCTCCATCTAACCTGTGAGCATGCTTTCATTGACGATGCAGGTGCCGCTGATCAGCACAGCATCACACGGCATGATGGTCCCATTTCTAGGGATCACCATCACATCACCGGGCACCAGATCAGTGGACAAGATCTCTTCGATTTCTGCCAGGAAGAGCGACGAATCAAAAGTAAATTGAAGCAAATCAAGTAGATGAATAGTAAAAATGTGGTGTGCAGCATATATATAAAAAAAAAAGAGGCTTAGAGATAAAACAAAAGAGTACCGTTATTGGCTCGGCAAACAGACACACGGACAACACTGTGAGCTGCCACCATATCATGAAGCATGATGTATTGCTACCAAGAAAAAACAGGAAGAGAAACAAACTGATGAAAAAGCTTCCCAATTCCAGCAAGTACCAGAGCGAGAGTCTGTGAGTCCGTAGACTGAGAGTCTGGGGGCAGCAGACCGTGTGCAGATGAGATTTTCTGTTAGGCTGAAAACCTTGATTAGATGTGGCAGGGTCAGCAAGTGTGTGTGCGTCATAGCACAGTGTGAGGTCAGTTTCTGTGATGCATGTAGTGCTGAACAAGTGAGATAAAAAACTCACTCTTCTACACCTAAAGGTAAAAAAAATAACTAAAGTACAGATTATTAACAGATAAGCATCCAGTGAATTTAGACTAATGACATGATAATTACTTATTTAATATTCAAGTCAAATGTCATGTAAGGTAATTAGTTATGAACTTCAATGCTTTGTGGCGCTCACCTTTTTGATGGTGTACAAAGAGGTAGCTATGGATATAACTGACATGAAAACAATGGCCACAGCATAGTAGTAATACTCATCGGCACTCCACAGGATCACACTGAAGAGCTGGAAGATGTAAAAAGGGTTGAGGACCTGCAAGAAACAGAAAGGATGACAAATTACTGAGGTGAAAATCCTAAATCCTAAATAAACACTACAGTTTAACTTTTTGTGTGCTTTAGGTGGAGCGTGGCCTGGCATGACCACTGATGTGACCCAAAAATAAAAATACATTTGTGTTTATTTGCTAAAAATTCAGATTTTACCTATTTACCAGAAATAAGATTGTTTAATTTCTGCTATTATAGTATAAAAACAACATGAAACAAAACTAGATCCAGGATTTATCATGTGAAAGCGGGCTCTACCTCTTTGATAAGCAGCTTGAAAACTGAAGGCACTTTCACCGCAATTTCATTCACTCCAAAGAACAATCTCCTGACAGGAGAAGACAGAGAACAGGGTTTAATGCTGTGAATTACACCTACATACCAAAGAGCATGGATCTGAGGGTTTCCCCTCTAAAACAGATGACATGATCAGATTCAAACACTGGAACATTTTCACTGCTTTCCCTGATCCCCGAATCTGAGCTAAGCAAAGATGTCAGGCATGTTGTTTATTTATTTTTGAGTTTCCTCTAAATGTTTAAGAAATCAAATGCATTTAAATTTTTGCATTTTCGCAGAGATTTTTAACAGATTTAATGGCCTGTGGCAAAGATTTCTAAATGTGATCGAGACCCACTCAGTCTGTTGCAGTCGTGTCCTTGGGTAAGACACTAACCCTCCTTTCCAGATGGTAGTGGTTGGAGGGACTGCCCCCAGGGCAGCTGTGGCTACGTTGAAGCCCATCAACACCGGCATGTGAATGGGTGTGTGATAAAGCACTTTGGGGGGGGGGGGGGGCTGAAGGACTCTAGAAGGCACTATATCTAATACAGGCCATTTACCAATAAGTAGGAAGGAAGACACGAGGAATACATGCATCAGCATCTTTTAACTGTAATCTTATTTATATATAAAGTATTCACGGGTGAATCATAGTTGCTCAGGCATCCAACAAATCCGATGAAACGGGTCAAGTTTTTGTGTAAAACTGAAACAACTGGGAGTTCAGTGAGTTTGTTTAACGTCTGGAATAATGGACGCATTTTCTGATCAGATGTTACCTGTACTCTTGCAGGTTCCTGCTCAGGCCCGCTGTGTGCTCCAGGTGGAGCGTGGAGCAACTGACCTGCAGATCCTCCAGACCGCTGTTAAAAACAAAACAGGTACTTTTGAGTTACAGAACTCATTTAAAAATGAGTCTAGAAGCAAAAAAAGTCTTTATTTTTATAGTAGTGGGATTTAAATTATTTACTAAAGTTTTTTAAAATGTATATAAATAAGAACGCTTACGTTAAAACTTTAAAGTTTTGCACCTCGTTGTTCCAATAATACTTTGTGCTATGGAAGGTAAAATAACGAATCTGGAGGAAAAAAACAGAAAGAGGGACGACAGGAAAATAAGTCATCAACGGTCATCTCCAAACAGATGAAGTGTGTGTGTGTCCAGTGTTTATAGGTATTCTACAGGTTGCTATGCAGAGGAACAGTTCCAGTTCCACATACCTGTGTGGGTTGGTAGTCAGAAAATTTTGTGATGAGCTCCTGAGCCGGTCTGCCATTGGAGGGGTGAGGAGTTTGTCCTTTGGCCAGAGGGGGGGAGGCAGAGTTGGAGAAGGTGCAGGAGTGAGAGGAAGGGGGGGAGGGGGAGGTGGTCTGGGTCTCCAGGCTGTGGAAGGGGTTGCTCCCCGGTGCAAGCATCACTCGTACCCTGGCCAGGAACCAGCGCCGGAATTCATCCTGGTCCAAAAAAACTCAAAATTCATCCTCAGGACTTCTCTTGATTTAACCAAATTGATGCTTAAAGAAAACAAACATTAGATGTTTTTCCACCTTTCAAAAAATGAAAGCCCAAGATTTATGACAGAGGAAGGTTGTCACAAATTAAAAAGAAACACCAACAGTGTTATTGTTAGCAGCCAAGCTGGTCAGGTATAGAAGTGATCACTAATCATTTATTTTCACTGGTCTTTAGTGCTGAAATTAAAAGTGGCAACTACGGCTGCATCTCTGGAAGATTTAAGATTATTCTAACAAACACTCCATAAATTAAACAAGTACTCTTATATAAAAGTGCTACATCGGTTGTTGGCCAAATAAAGCCAATAATGAAGCTGCCTTCAGCTCTTCTCGCTCTCTAGTGCACGTATGTGCATGTTGGCGCACCACAAAACCTCCTGAGCTATCCTTGTGTTTCATTTAAGAATCTCCTTTTCAGAAGTTTGTTGCTTGTATTTAAAAAGCACCAGTGACCAGCTCAGTCCAGGAAATACATTTTGGGACATTTGTGATGGTCTGTAATTCCGTCATGTCTTCTTGTTTTTAATCTGTTTGGTTATTAGCTTTATTTTTGTTGTTACACAGCCATGTTGTCTGACACGTGTGTCGAGCTGGATGAGAGAATTATCCGTTACCCGCGTTTGACCTGCTCAAGTGCAGCATTTGTCTCTCTTGCCAATCAAAACATTTTGTAGAAACAATTCATACACCTAATCAATTAGATGGCCCAAAAGCTTTTCATCACGTAGAAGTCCACACTTATGGGAACATGAATTTGTTGGTAAAACAGACTTTAAACCAGCGTTTTTAAAAATCTTCTGGAGGAAAAGTTTCAGCACCGGATCTTTTCTGTCTCTATTCCACTTTAAGCATAACGATTTAGATGCTGCATCTTGTTGGTTGTATTGGAACGACAGTCAAAGGTTGAAACCCATGGACTTCCCAACAGATGAGCTGCTGCCAAACAATTCTTTGTGGTTGGATTTTTAGATTTCATGCTGTTTAATGTTTTGCTTACAGCTCAGTGATCAAAAGTCTCACAGGGACAGTTATTAGTATCGGGCTCCATGCTGAGTGACACTGTTCTGTGTGATGGAAATACTTGCCATCAGTAAATGTTGGTTCCCCATAACAAATACCAGCTAAAAACACTACAAGCATGACTTTAATTAAATAGCATTAACTTTTTTCTAACATGACTCATGAATTATAAAGCACTTTGTTTTTATGATTGCTGGCTAATTAAAGTATTACTGAACCTCTTGTTAGGTTTGGAGTCATTAAACATAAAGATCCTTACCGTAAGTTAAGAAAATGTTTCACTAAATTATGTCGTGTACCGTATTTTTTGGACTATAATGCACACTGGGTTACAAGGAGCAATAAACGTAATGAGGACACTGGATACTCTGACTCTGATATTGCATCCAGACTGCCTGGGCGGAAACGGGCCGGTCTAGATGTGAACGTGCTGCACAAGGTGCAATTATAATTACCCTATAGGGCGCAATAAGCAAAACAAACTGTCAGACAAGTCAAACTTTATTCACTTAATTCACAATAACTCATAACTGTCAACGTTGTTGTAGCACATGAAAAAAGAACAATAAATCCAATTTTCTGTCCATTACTCTTCTTCAAATCCATCAAAGTCTTCAACTTCAGTTTCTGAGTTTAACAGCTGGGCAATTTCGGCATCAAGCATGCCGGGATCGATCTCGTCATCATTCGAATCAGTCTCGCCGTTACCAGTGCTTGGCTGTTCAGTGATGATGTGCTTGGCTGTTCAGTGATGATGTGCTTGGCTGTTCAGTGATGATGTGCTTGGCTGTTCAGTGATGATTTCAGCTTTTGTGAAAGCTGGGACGACACCTGAGACTGATACCTTATCCCAGGCGTCCACGATCCATTGGCAGATAGTGGAGTAACTCCCCCGACGTTGCCTTCCTGTCTGTGAATGTGTGTTTGTTTGCCATCTGTCATTCAAAGCTCCCATGCAGCTCACAGCTAAACTTTGAAGGACTTGTTGACACCAAGTTATCTAGTGGTCGGAGTTCTTTGGTAAATCCGACCGGTATGATGGCAATCTACGAATTAGTTTGATTTTTAACAGTATCATTGAGATGGTCCCGCATGGAGTCGCAGATCAACAGGGACAGAGATTTGTTGAAAAAGCCATCCAGTCACTTGACATAAATTTCTCTCAGCCACTCACTCATCTTCTCATCCATCCAGCCCTTTGGTTAGCCTTGATTATGATGCCAGCTGGAAAGTTTTCTTTTGGCAAAGTCTTCCTCTTGAAAATGAACATGGGTGGTAGTTTCTAGCCATAAGTCTGGCAACCGAGAACTACAGTGAAGGATGACTTCTCGTTCCTTGTGGGGCATATACATACTGTACTGGTCCCCGTTTTCTCGACAGTACGGTTAACGAGGATGTCAAAGATGAGGTGGACCTCATCCATGGTTTTGATATGTTCTGCCGGATATTCTTTTCATTGATCTTGAACTTGCAGTCGGTGCAAAAAAATGGCCAACTTTTCTTCGTAATCTTTTGGCAGTTGCTGCGAGATGGTAGTTCTTGTGCGGATGGATAGGTGACGTCTTCATAAAACGGAAGCACCAAGAAGGACACCCTCAAAAGTTGTTGAACTGCAGCCACCTTGCTTTGTTCCCTCAGAAACTCTGATCTTCTTTACTTGGCGGAGGTCATCTTCTTGCTTCCTCCACTTCAGCAACATTGACTCATCAATGTTGAATTCTCTCTCAGCTGCTCTATTCCCATGTTCTACTGCGTGACTGATGGCCTTGAGTTTGAAATCTGCTTCGTAAGCATGTCTCTTAACAGGTGGCACTTTGGGTTCCTTATTCACATCCCATAATATTACCTGAATGCTGAAGCACAGTAGCCGTACTGCTCTACCACTCCATTAAGCGTTGCTGCTCCTTAGCTTTGCAAAGATGTACTACAACGTTTTTACTGGTTTTTGAGCACCGTGTACCAAATAAAATCAGTTTGATGTCAGTAAGCACAAACAGAATTAATACCTAAGGCGCACTGTCGATTTTTGAGAAAATTAAAGGATTTTAGGTGTGCCTTATGGTCCAAAAAATACGGTAACTTAAAATGTTCACACTGAACTAGCATCACCTGCTGCAAAGCACACTTAACAGTCAAGCAGGCATTAGTGCTGTATCTTAAATCAGTATCGGACAGGATCTACTAGCTTCCTACCGTGGAGCGCAGCAGCACCACTTCAGCATCACGGGCAGTGGTACGGGTGCAGGTGGACTTGACGCACCATTGTGGCATCCAATACAGCAGCAAGAGAAGGAAGCCTCCCGTACAGAACACCCCGAAGCCCACTAGGGCCAGCCGCCAACGACACAGGCGGTAGCCTTGTAGCTCCTTAACAACGAGAAACAAAAACAAGTTCTCATGAGATGGGTTGGAAATTTTTTCACAATGGTTTTTTCTGTTGAGGAGCATACCATCTCCTCCTCTTCCCCCTTGTTGAGGATCTTTAAGTCTCCCTTCTCCATGTTGCAGAACAGTTTGCCTAACCCCTTCCTTAGCCTCTGGAAACATATTCAAAACAAAAACATTACATAAAAACATAGCAATTCTATAAAAGACTTTAGTGTTAAATGAATTTTAAATTAAAAAGATTTTATTTCAACAGACACCTAACAGCAGAGAAGGAATTCATGAGCTTTATTCCAACAATAACTTGGAGTAAACATTTTTTTGTGGTTTACAATTAACAACAAAGTCTTTCCAGAAATGTTATGAGTTGACTTAAATATTCTGGGATTTAAAAAAAATAAATAAATAAGACATTGAAATTTCTGAAGTTCTTATTTTTGGTTAAACAAAGTGAAATATAAGGGGGTGTAATGGTAATGCAGAACAGAGCTCTACTCCCTCCACATGGCCTCCTCAACACCCGATAACCTCGTGCTACTGCCCTCACGCTCAGATCTTATCAGCCTGCTGCACCGGGGAGAAATTCTTCTCTGGCATACTGTGGGATATTTTGCTAAAGACCAAGCCCTTCCTTGTATTTTCCAATGTCACCCCCCCACCCTCCTTAGCCAGAGCTCAGCAGTGGGCGCAGCTCTGCCAGGACATTCCCTCCCAAACTCCAGCAATAACTGGAAATGCCGACACTAGTGCACTGAGTCATGTGTAAGATTTCTATCTTGGAATGGTGACTCAAAAAATATTTATAATGATAATAATAAGAATAAATCTGAATAAAAGTACGTACAAATATTCTAATGATGAAGCAGATTTAAATACAAAAACTAAGTAGCATTTAAGCACCCTTAGTTTGGCTCACTAATTGATAAACATGACAAAGCTAAGAACTACTATGCTCATGTGTTATTTATTTTTATCAGTCATCTCAAAACGGTGAATAAATGACACGAAAATAAAAATAGCTAAGAAATAATCCCTACCTTGAAAACTAGGGACACAATGCTCCAGGCGGTCCACCTCCCCACAGGTAGCTTGCTCTCTCACAACACCAACCTGGAACCCTGAAAACAGCAAAAACATCCAAATTATAATCAGAGTTGTTTTTTATGTAGGTATCTGACTCCATGCCCAATAATGAAAATTAGGGGATTTAGGAGAAACCTTTAAGAGCCTAAAGCTGGGTGATATGAAAAGAAGAGATATAATTTATGTTTTAATACAATCTGATTGACCCAATGACTTATTCATTTGAGCCCCTTTGTCTTCTCAATCCCCACTGATGGCTGTTCAAATATAATACAAATAAAATACCAAACCGTGCCCTTGGGAATAGTGGTCAGGCCAAGCTGCATCGGTCCGAAGTTTGAGTAGTGCTCCTTTATATTCACAATTCAACATAATATACAGTTGAAAATCTTCAGATATGTCTCTCTTACTTCCGTTTGCATCCTAATATTAGCTTTAAACCTTTAATACACATTTTACCTAATCTAAAAGGTGAAGGGTTACACCCTATGCTGAGGAAAAATCTAACTGTTGACCAACAGAAGAAACTTTTTTTTCTATAGGTTTGAAGTGCAGCCCTCTATTCTCACGTGTATATCTGAAACCAACTGCAGTAACATATACTGTTGATGCATCAAACTGCCAATTAAATTCAGAAAAAACAAAACATCTAATGTGAGGGGTTGAGTTCTGTGATAAGATCCAACCAATCATGGTCTGCTTGCCCAAGCTGATTAAGAATGCTTGTGATTGGTGGGCCACTGCTTGTCGTGCATCAAGTACACTTGAGTTCATTTGCCTCTGACATTGCAGTAAGACCGTGACGTGACTTTCGCTCATGTACATTGTGATGTTGATGCTCAAATATGACACCTTGCAGCTCTACCCAGAGTCACAGGGAACAGGTGCCAGACTCGAACAGTCATCGGGCTAGAGGTGGGGCAGAGCTTGGACAGGTCGCCATGCCATCACAGGGACACACAGTAACAAACGCTCACACGCTCAATCAGGCCTAGGAACAATTTACTATCTCAAATTACAATGCAAGTTTTAGGACTGTGGGGGAAAAAACAGGAGTACTCCAAGAAAACCCACGCATTCATGAGAACACGCCAACTCCACACAGAAAGGCCACAACCAGCCAATGCTACCAACTGCTTCACCTAGCAGCCCCACAGTCTAAACAGCATCATTGCGGTTTTACATCGTAGTGACCATGAATAATAAATGTATCTTTTACTTTACTTATTTTATTTAAGGAGAGGACAATGCATATTTGATAATTTCCAGGCAAATTTCCATCTGCAGTCCTCTGGCAGGTTAATGTTAAAAGAGATAAGACAGACAACAATATACAATTAGAAAAAAAATAAAAATAAAAAAAATATATAAACATATTTTCCGAAAAAGACAAGAGTAAAAATAAATTAAAGTGTCATCTATGATTGCATCTTTCAGTTTCCTGTAACCACAGTTTCAATTGTCTTTTGAAAGTAACAAAACTATTTTAAATATTAGTTATTAATTATATTGAAGTGGACTTTCCAAATGTAAAAAAAAAATATTAAAAACTAAAAGAAAAATGTTGATATACTTAAACTTATTTTTATTCGTGTTAATTCTGCCTCATCACAGCAGATTTGAAACTTATTTTAAGCTATTTCCTCCTTTCACTAAAGACTTTTACAGTCTGGTGCCTTTGGAGGGTCTAAGCCCTGGCTTGCTCATTTCCAACACGACTGAAGAAATATTAAGTGGAGTTTTTGCCAATCACAAAACATTGTAGACAAGACTTTCTGTTCTCACTAGGGGCAGTGAGCCCTCGAATGAATAAACCGATAAGGATAAGGTAAGCTTCATGCTTGGGAACTAAAGATTACACATGAACTCTGTTTAGGGCCTCTAGGAGTCAGCATGACTTCACTGTTATTTATAGTTTCCTCGAGCCCGGCCTAAGGCCATATTGTTGTCTCTCATTTGATTGGTCTGCCATTGTATTAATAAGCAGAGCTTTAGGAGAAAATTAAAACTGGACAGCTGCTTGGATTTTGTCAAACAAGATTAAATGGGATCTAAATCACGTCCCAGAACATAAATGAATGAACTGACTATTTTAAATGGGTCAATTGGTTTTGACAAAAAAGACTGAGATAGTTATCTACAGAAAAATTAATTAGTAACCTTTGTGACTGCGGTTTGCTCTCTGACCAATCAGTTCAACAACTGCCTTTAGCTCACTGTAAACAAAATGTTAATTAAAATAAAAAATGTGCTCCTTTCCTGTTTAACGTGAAGCCAAAAAGGAAAGGTGAACAATAAGCCGTGACCTAATGACAGGGGCCAATAATTCATGGAAGCATTCGAAGGAAAGTGTTTATGCCATCTTACTCAACGCTCAATGTGCTCTTTTTATCACTTCCCCTCCTGCGTATGAAGTATTTCAGCCAAGCTTTGTTCACTGTCAAGAGTCAGTTAAGTCAAATTTTTATCACTGCAGGTACTGAACGTCCTAAATATTTTCAGCAATCGCCACTTCCATTGCTAGATATTAAAAAGCCTTAAAAACAGAAGTCAGCAGCACTGATAAAATACCTCATAATTTGATAAGAGGAAATTAAATTATAGTTTATCCTCAGCCAGAGCAACAAGATGTTTTCCCCTCTTTAATACCATACCATACCATTTTATTTATAAAGCAGTTTAAAAATAGCAGTCAGCTAATGAAAGTGCTGTAAATAAAAAGCCAAAGGCTCAAACAACAACAGACATATAGCAAAAAAGAAAAAACAAAAAACAAAAAAAAACAGGGAGCTGCTTAGAGCTGAAACAACTAATCGATTTAATAGAATATAATTGATTATTAAAATAGTTAACAACTTTTTTTAGTCATCGATTAGTTGTTTAATAATCACATTTTACCGCATAAAGTCTATTTTTACCACAATCTGACATCGGTTACAATCTGTTAAATTTGCCGCCAGTGTGTGGCAGTAATGAGCCACTGATCTACCAGTGGAGCCGTAGAAGAAGAAACAAGCCAGTAAGTGCCCTCGGTTTTCATGACGTATCACGTTACTGACGCTCATTTTGCTGTGAGAGATGGCGGAACAAGAAGAAATACGGAAGAAAAATAGAAGCGACAAAACTGAAGAGAAACCCCAGACAAAAACCTCACGAGTATGGGAGCACTTCACTCTAGATGTCATGAAAAGACGGGTGACCTGCAAAATATGCAAAAACCATCTAGCATGGCACGGAAGCACGACGTCCTTAAGTGAACATTTGAGACAAAAACATGTGGGGGCTGATGCAGCAGAGGAAGAGCCAGCCCGGTAAGTAACAGAAAATAAGTCATCACTACACGCAGATCAAATTTGGGACTTAGTGTTTTAGCTGAGTTCGTTATAGTGAATGTTAAACATGTTTTTTTTTGCCGTGTCAGTCTACGGTGTTCTACTTCTGATTGACTAAATGCAATTGTGAATCTCCTGCGTGTTGTGAATCATGCGCTTGCCAAATTTAGCACGTCTGTTTATAAGAATGTTCTCGTTAAGAGAAAAACGGCACAAACCCTTAACTATGTTCCTCATTCAAAAAAAGACAACTCCGCTGAGAAAAATATACAGACGAGCTGTGTCCAGGTGAATATAACGTGGCATAGTTGTACGCTTTCAATTTTTAAATGCAGGAGAAATTCAGAAAAAATCATTTTTTACTTTTAAAAGGCTGTTTTACTATCTAACACTGTAAAACACCTCACAACGCATTTTTATCAAAATAAATGATCACTGTATATTGTTAATTCAAATAATATAATATTGATTTAGTGTTGTAGTGTGTGTGCTGCTTTATTTTATATGTGTACTTATGTCAGTCAATTTGTGTTTCTTATGCAGAAAAAAACTAGCAACGATGGACAACTACATGGGGAACAAGACACTCACCCCCCAGCAATGCATACCACTAACAAACTCTATTCTAGATTCTACATAATTTTTTATGGAATTTACCTCTTATATTTTGATGCCAAAAAATTATTCTGGACTGATATTTTGCACTGTTTAGCTCATTTTACACCGCTGACTGTGTTCATGTGCAATAAAATAGATTGCAGTCAACTGCACAATTCTCCTATGTTTTTCTTTTTCTTAACTGAAATGTATTCATCACTTGTATAGGTTAAATAGCTAAACAAATAACAAATTAATCGATTAATCGAAAAAATAATCGACAGATTAATCGATTATGAAAATAATCGTTAGTTGCAGCCCTAGAGCTGCTTCATACTCGGCTGCGAACCACTACAGTGAAAGCTGGAGATCAACATCTGATGAAGCTAACAGGACCACGTCATCTGCAAAAAGCAGAGACTTGATCATTAGGCCACCAAAACAGATCCCCTCAACACCCTGGCTGCAACTAGAAATCCTGTCAATAAAACGTATGAACAAAATCGGTGACAAAGAGCAGCCTTGTTAAGAGTCCAACTCTCACCAGAAACAAGTTTGATTTACTACCAACAATGTGGTCATACAGTGACCTAACAGCCCGTATCAAAGGGCCTGGTAGCCCATACTCCCAGAGTAACCCCCCAAAGGGCCCGACCGAGGGACGCAGTCGGACGCCTTCTCCAAATCCACAAAACACATGTAGTTTGGTTGGGTGAACTTCCACACACCCTCCAGGATTCCCCTAAGGGTATAGAGCTGGTCCAGTGCATCAGCCAACACAGCCCTATGATATCCAGAGCCTTAAGGAACTCCAGGATCTCATCCACCCCCGGCGCCTTGCCACCGAGGGGCTTTTTGACAACCTCAGCGACCTCAGAGCCAGTAAATGGAGAGTCCAACCCTAAGTCCCCGGACTCTGCTTCCTCACTGGAAGACACGCAGATGGGATTGAGGAGGTCTTTGAAGTACTCCACTCACTGATCCACAGCATCCCCGAGTCGAGGTCAGCAGCACACTGTCTTCACTATAAACAGTGTTGGTAGTGCACTGCTTTCTCCTCCTGAGGCACCGGATGGTGGACCAGAATCTCCTCAAAGCCTTGCAGA